GGCTTCAATTCTGAGCCACATCTGATAACGTCTCTAGCCACTGTGTAGCACCATCTCTCGGACCCCAGCCAGCGAGTCGTGAAGGACCAACAGAAGCTAGCCCCATACCAAGAGACCATGTCATACACTGACCAGAGGCCAGTTTGAACGTCGTACGTGGTTTCAGAAAAACTGGTTCAACATTCGTGTTTTGTAGAAGCATTCACTTTCGATCAGACAGTGACTGGAGATCGTTTAGATGGAACAGAGTTTCCACCATGAGCGAGCTGCTGCATAAGGTGGAAAGTAAGGATACACAAATGAAGAATAAAAGGGAGTGAATAGGTGACGTGGTAAATAATAATAGTAATAATAATGATGTAAGTTGTCTGACCTATGGTAGAAGCGAGAATAGCATTGTGGGCAGAAAGCGTCATTTCATTTGTTTGCACGAGGGCTGTGATACTGCCCGGGTGCCCAGACTGAAGCAGGCGATTTTCTTAGGGAGCAACACCCGGAGCTTTTGACCTAAAGGTCTAATCCACAAGGTAGTAGGGCATCGTGAGGAGATGCAGTCCCATTGTAGCCGGTGACCAACAATTGGTTCATACCCCATTTGTTCTTTCAGGATACCGCAGCCCATGTGCACCATTGGTTTGAAATCAGGGTTTTCCAACTCCCCTAGGTGAACTTTCCGTGTCCACCAAACCGGTTAAGGCGCCGGACATTCGCTTTTATTCCTCTCACTTTCGTAAACAACACCCCCGCCACGAGAAAGCAATGAGTAGGGACTTCTCTGGAAGAGACTATATACTATGTCAACGGCGTATAAACACGTATTCACTATATTATTTACAAGCACCCATTGAAAATCTAATTACCGAGCGTCTTAAAAAGTATTGTGGTGTATGCTACATAAGCTGAGAGATATAAGTAGTATGTAGCAGCAATCAGAAGTGATTGAACTGAAGAGAACAGAAAGGGAAACAGGTAGCAACTGTAATAACAACAAGATTTATGAGATCATGAAGTATGTAAAAGACGATTGAAATAAGAATTTTAAATAACGTATTTAATGTACGGATTACATAATTTACCAAGGCACTATGCAATTTTGTATAAAAAACAGCAGCAGATAACTAGGTGATAAAAAAGAGTATAGCTGCAAAATGATTGAGGTTCATAACATAGATAACATATGGTTCATGTATATCTAAACACACTATATGTCGATAGCAATTTTAGAAGAGAACTAAGGCTAAGAAGATACTGTAATTCAGAAAACTGTATAATGCGAAATAATGGGATATATAGCAGTCAATACGAGTGATGTTGAAAAGTGAAGACTTTAGAGATAGATTACTAGAATCCACGAAATATTCGTGTCAGAAATAATTTTAAAAGGAACAATAAAAACAACTTTCTCAATGAAACAGCAATTTCGCCAAGTGTACTTACTATAACTACCACAGTAAGTTATGTTTTCAAAAGAAACACATAAACCACAGTACATTTAATACTATATAAATAATAGTAACATGACTTAATAGGATAAATACAATTGAAATGTTCAACAAATGATTCGAAAATAATTAGTTCTAACTATAAAATACACTACAGAATAATTTTATGTAAAAAAATAAATGCGAAGTGCTAACAGTTAGATTTTCTGAGTTTCATTTAAATGTTTCGCGTATAATTCTTCAAATGTTGAATTTGACATACGACATGCTAACATGGATAAAACACCAGTAAGCAGACCAGGTACAGAACCAATCATTCCTGCTATAAGCATTCGCTTAAATCCACGATTTAAGCAATACAATGAACTTGTAATTCCTATATAAAATGAGGAATTAAAAGGTGAGAAAAAAATAAAAGAATACCAAATTGAAAATATTTGTAGAATAATACAATACATTAAACATAACATGACTAAATTACCAATCGATTTAAAGCAATAAACTATATGATCAGAAGTTTGTTTACATCAGTTGAAGGGTTAGTCAGTCATATGCGACGTAGAAAAAAAATATATATCGATTCAAGCTATCTTATCATATTCGCACAGACTGACTAAATTATTTCAAGATAAATCCTGAGGTAGCAACTATGTCCGTAGTAGTAGTAGAAAAGACTAGATATAATAAGAGGAAAAACAAGCATAGTGAGATTTCGAGACTCAGTCTTTAAAGGAAAAGGAGTGTATGGACTTCTGTGCCAATGTGATCGACTTTGAGCCATTTTACTCAAAGTCTCTAACCATTGTTTATGGTAATCAAGCGGACCCTAACTAGGTAGTCGATACCTATTGACATGGTCAAGTCCAATTTTCAGCGACTTCACAGATTGATGTCATGTTTTGGTTTGGCTATTCCCAATTTTATTCTACCTTGCTCTCGCATCAGAAAACACCGCCCTTCGAGGTACGATGGTAGTTGAGGATACGTGTCCCGACCACTTCCGTTGAGGAAGATTTACTACCTCATCAATCTATTTCCTATCCTTACCTAGCACTCCGTTCCTAACCCAAGCATTGATGAGATCGTGGTCCCGAAATACGCGAGTAATGCTTCCAAGACACCTATGACCGAATACTGGTAACCTATGAATATTTTCTATTCTTAGTGGCCATATTTCATATTTGTAATGTAGGATGAAGCGAACTGATGTGTAGTAAACTCGTACTTCGGTTGAGACGGAAATCTCCCCATAAGCTATGACTCGACCAGTAGTGTTCCAGTAAAGAGAGCCTATACAAGGTAGGCCTTCCATTGACAGATACTGCCACAGAACTTCACGGTAAACGGAGTTGGACCCCGTCTTAAGGTTAAGGAATACAACTTTAGTCGGACATCAAAAAGCGTGTCTATGTTCCAGAACCTGTCAGGTGTGAATGTTTAGTTTATACATTGACATCCAGGTCTAAAACCAGAATAATTTTCTAGAGTTTACTTTTCATGAGCTATAGCAAGACGTCAAAGTATTATTGAGGCTAATATTTTAGACGCTCTTAATGAAACCTATTCCTCTGTAATTTTTGTCCTTTCTTATAGTCTGGAACGATCGGTGATCGAGACCAGTCAGATGGCATTACATCTCGTTTTCATATCTTAGCCAAGATTTCAGCTAACCTAATTGATAAAGCTGAACCACCATACTTAAAATTTTCAGGGGTTATTCCATCATACCCTGATGTTTTGCCTCGTTTTAGATTCTTTATATCCTTTCCAACCCCAGTAAGATTTTGAGGACTTACGTCAGTTTGGTATTCAGGTTGCTCGGAAATAATGGGTAGTGTGTGGTTGAAATGTGTGGTTGAAAGCGAGTCGAACTGTTCCTTGACGTGAGCATCTATCAGTTTTATAGACGCCACTGAAATCCACTGGTTTCCCTTAACCTTTTTATTTAAGTTACTGGTATGTATCACTGCTGTTTCCATAGCTTTTCGGATACTATGCCAAGCTGTCTTGGGGTGGATACCACTTTTACGATTGATTAACTCCAATAGTTGTTCCTGAAATACATTCTTAACTTTTCCATTATAAAGTTGAACTCTAAGGGGGTTTTCTTGGTGTGACGTTCCTACGTCCAGTAAGATCCAAACAAATACGCCCCTGAACTAGAGAATGATCTGATTCTAAACATGTGCTCCAGAATGAGTGATAGTCATCTATCGAACGCCCCCAACGACCACTAATGGCAATGTGATCTATTTGAGTACATCGATTTATCGACTTAAGGGGGTCGACATATCAGAAGATGTTTCTCATTGTGTCTAAAGTTAGTGTTTGCTAGAAATAAAAGATTGTTTGAGCATAGTTGCAACAGACGGTCGCCATTATCTGTTCTCTGAGCCGCAACACTGTAAGATCCGCCTAGGTCCATTTAGATTTGGTTTAGTTTACCTACATGAGCATTAAAATCGTTTTCCATTATTACTGCATCAGAGCGTTCAGCTTTTAGGAGGTTGGATAACTTCCTATGAGATTCATCTCCAACTTCGTCCGAGTCGCAATCAGACAGAGACAATGAAAAGACAACGGCATGTGTCCCTATGTATTGGAGTTTTTAATGTTCTGTTTGGTCAAATAGCTTACAAGCCAGTCTATTGGAATTCAGTCTAACAGACCATATTCTGCTTCAAAATTTAATGGTTTACCTAAACCAGAGAGGCCACGGGAAGTAGCAGTGGGGTCTCCAGATAATCGAAGAGTAAATCGTACCAGTTTTTATATTGACAAGGTCAAGTCAAGTGAATGACTACTTGGATCCTGTACGCGCGTTCAGGAGATGCAGCTCATATCGATAGCGTCAGATTATAAAGTTCTGGCTAAAGGATACTATTTTCCTATATGACAATGATCGAACATTAAAGGACCCAACATGTAGTTCGGAGCATGATCTCAGGAGACCAATGATATAATTCCATGAACTCAAATTATCAGCATTGGTGGAGCGTCGCGATAAAGGTATAGGAGACGGGTATATGTTTTCTTTCTTTATTTATTTGAACACATAAATATTGGTAAAAGAGGGCACCAGATATGTATATATATATACCGAATGCCCACAAAGCCCAAGGGACAACTGCTTGAGCCCGGTTGCGCACAGCAATTTTAGTAAAGTCTTTGATGCGTTAGCTGTTCACTTTAAGAGGCCTTAACGCCAGAAACGGAAATTCATGGGGTGTGGCTTTTTTAGCCCCTTCTTTCCGTTGTGAGAAGGTAGCACAGTTGTAGATGATGGCTGTCCGAGGGAAAAACCTTGCCATCAACATACTCCTCTACAATCAGTATTGTTACATCACCCTCGGACAGTAAGTTGATACCTTTAGTCTTACTGTTTTCCTGTGGTGTGTGCTATTGATGTCGACAAGTATAAGTAGTATGTATCACCAATCAAATGTGAAATGCCATGAGGCAGGTTAGGAATATTGAAGAAAAGAGAGAGAGAACAGAGAATGATTGATGTGAAAACGAAAAAACAATCAAGTCTGAGACAATTGATTGACATTTTGCAAATGAAGTATTTACTGTATGGTTTTCAGATTATACTAAGAGATTCTGTAATTTCGTATTCAAACACATTCGGTTGTCCCGTCTGTGTTCTCGTTCACTACACTCCAAGCGACCTGTCTGATATAGTAGGATCTAAAGGAACATGTATTCCAGCCAATATAGCTCGGTTGAGTCAACACGATAAAGAAGCCCAACCACCGCTTCAAGATAATAGCTGCGGCCAGAAAAATTCAATGATATGTTGAGGATACTCTTTTGATCTGATATACAAGCATGTCATTTTAGAGTTAGGTATATATAAAGCTATGAAAACGAGGATGTTTTGACGTAAGACGAACATCTCGCCTACTTCGGTAACTGTAAATAGTTATTTACGCACATACGCCGGTTACAGCTTGTGGAGCATAGGCCGCGTGGAGCCCTTCTAGGGTTACTATCACCTTCAACCCACATAGACAATGTTTGGATATGGGACTAGAAACCAAATCTCGTAGAAAATAACCCTGATACGAAAACGCCAGCAAGTGATTGCTTATGGAATTTCAAAAAAAAGGCTGGAAGAAATTAAAACCAACAAGTAATTAAGAGCACAGTAAGTAAGAGAGTCTATATTGCAGTACGTACAGCATGAAGAAATTTATCAAATTTCAAAATTGTAAAGGAAAGTATAAGGGTTCATTAGTGGGAAAATAAATGTATATATTTCTCTGTGCGTATGGATACAACGCACAGGTCTAGAAACAGAACAAAAAATAAACTTGATGTTGATAGTTTCCTGAATCATATACGTGGATGTTATTGGAAATACTGGGGACAAACATAAAAACTACAAATAACCACTGCTTTATATTGAGTGAGACAGGACTAACGCAAACATCCTCAATGAAATACAATTTGGTGATGAACAACATAATGTAAAGTCTATACTGATAGTGACTCAAAATTAAATTCCAAGTTACCGTCAGTAAATTGGAAAAAGTTTATTTTTATTATTGATTTAATAAACGCAATTAATTAGATTAACAAATGTAACATCTATTTTAAAAAATAACAAACACGAATAAATGACACATTCAGGTTTAAAAGTTGTCTTCTAGGTAAGAGTTACGAATGAGCGAACTAAAAGATGGCCGATGAAATATAAGTAGCAATTACGAATCTCCCAAAACAGGCTAGGAGGAACCTATAAGTAGGTATACGTAGAAATTTTAATAATGCTTACCCCAACCAGCAGCGTGTTCCCAGTAGCTTGTTTTCCCTTGAATTGCGGAGAACAGTAACGGTAGAGTGCTTTGATGATTAAAAGAAAATATAAGTTTGACAAAACGACATATCAAGAAATGTCCTTATAATTTTTTTAAATAAAATATTCAATTTCTTGAATAATGAAACTAATCTTTGGTCAACAATATGCTTACGAATCACACGACTCGTTATGGTGCTGTTGTGGTAGCCTTCTACTGTTAGCCACTTTGACTACTAAGAGGGTTACAAGTAGTGAGTTCATAATGTGTAATAATATACTACAGTAAAACCAATTACAAAGCCGTATTCTGCTTCAATCTTTACAATAAAATAATTTACAAACGTGTTGTGAAGTTGATATTAAATGTGGTAATTCCGAATCATTGACATTTTGGAGATTCTTCTAATATGAGATGAGAGCTATGCGAACTGGATCAACCAGACAACTAATGTACTGGTGAAGATCCTAGAAATATTAGATTACTTTCAAGTTAATAAAATCATAAATCGGCCTAGTTATTGATTATTAGTTACAAAAATTTATAAGACTAAGGAGTTTATTTATTTATTTTAACACATAAACATTAATATCAGAAATAGTTTTTGTGGATATTATAGTAATTTTAATAGTTGAGATCATGAGTCTATTTAAGCTAGACCACCATGGAAAACCTGGAAGCACTGTACTACCGTTTCGTTCGATTGTGAGATTCCTCGGTTGTGCGCATCCGCGACCCCGCCCCGCGAGATTCAAACCCAGGACCTATCGATCTCGTACGTAAAAGGGGGCAACAAATATATATGCGCCATACAATAACAGTGAGGCCTGTAGCAGTTATCATTCATTTGTATGACGTCTGTGATACTACCCGGGAACCCAAACCGAAGCAGATGATTTTCTTGGATAGCGACACCCCAAGCCTTTGACTTGAAGGTCTAATCCACAAGCCAGTGGGGCAACGTCAGAAGATGCAGTCCCATGGTAGTCAGTGACCAAAATTCACTTAAAACCCGTACATGAATTTTCAAAAGTATTTCTTCAAAAATATAATATTTGGAGATTTAATATCCTCAACAAAATTTATGTAAGTATAAGTTCCCTTTTGAGGACTCACATAGCGCCATAGAAATATTGGGATGTTTAATCTGATAGCTTAATAATTAAACCACAGTCTAATAGAGTAATATTTTAATGTTACAAGTAAAACACATTTTGGCGCCATATGTGGAAGCTGCTGGGACATTTGTAAAACGTGTTGGAATCATTGAAGACAACGTTTCAATATATTAACAACCAGATAATTACTAACCCTGTTAAATATAAATAAACATTCCCAGACCTCATGCTGAAGAACATGAGCAATCGTTTCCGAATAACAATGGTCAAAAATATTGTTATTTATTTAAACACATAAACATTGGTATGAGAAGGCACCAGATATATATGCGCCAAATAAATTATTCGATATGTTCGAAAGGTGGGATACTACTTGGGTGCCCATACTAAAGCAGGTGGTTTTCTTAGGGGGCCACACCTCGAGTATTTGACCTAAAGGTCTAATCCACAAGGCAGTGGAGCAACGTTAAGAGATGTAGTCCCATTGTAGCCGGTGATCAACGGTTGATTCGTACGCCATTTGTTCCCTCAGGATACTGGAGCCCATGTGCACCACTGGTTTGGAATCAGGGTTTTCCAACTCCCCTAGGTGGACCCTCCATGTCCACCAACCCGGTTAAACCGCCGGACATTCGCTTTTATTCCTCTCACTTTCGTAAACAACACCCCCGCCACGAGAAGGCAGTCAGTAGGACTTCCCTGGCAGAGGCTGTATACGCATGGCCGTGTGAGAGCATTTCCAAAGGGAGGGTGCCCCTCCCACTCTCGGTCGTACCAGGGCATTCGGGGCGGTTAAAAATAGGGAGTAAATGAACATAGAAAACGACTCTCATAGATGAGCTATAAACTTGACCTTTCACTGATAGACAGATGTTATGACGCAGATTAACGGTGTGGAAATAATGATGAATTGAAATAAACAAATGTAATCAAACAAAACAATTGAATGAAAAATTTTATTCTACCATAAATTTCACTATTTCCCCAATTTACGTGTAATAATTCACCACAATATCTTACTGGTAAAAAGATTTCTTAAAATGTGTTATAGTAGTTAAATTGATCAAACACAATCCTACTGATCTAAAATACAATAAGCAATCTCCATATTCGAAAAGAGGTATTTTCTTCAGTTAAAAATATCAAATAAATGTTGAAATATGACAAATCGCATGCAAAAAGAATTAATCGTGAACATACTAGTATCCACCGGTAAGTAAAGTTACTTTGGAACCAACGGAAATTCCAAATATAATACCTCTAAGTATACAATGATCTAAGGAATGACGCTAAAACAGAAGATTTCAGTGAAGGAGAAAAATAAAATGAACAAAAACTTGTCAAAAGTGTTTTTTTAATTTATTCTCTTTGCTTTTCAAATAGTTAAACTATTCAATATGAAATTATTTATAATTTAGGTAATTTATCGGGTATGAGTATACATATGTTGTAGTCTTTTAAAATTTACAATGGAAAATTCGATGGCATTGTAGTGGACGCTACCAACAAGGATGTTTATCAGTAGTGTGTAGTTGAGCGTGGAGTCGAAGTTGCAGTAATTATAAAACTTCCAGTGGATCTAAAGCATGGCGTTGCAAGAACACTTGGAGATCAGACGATTAGATAGTTTACATGGAATAAAACATCGAAAGTTGCAAATGGATAATTGAAGGCTATGTATATGTGTTATTTAAGTATTTTGTAACTTCTCGCAATATACACATTTCTCCTGCCTATTATCATGTCTTACGGTATATATCTTATTTAACCAGTTTATAATTTTATGTCGACATGTTTGGAAGTGTGTGGTAAAGTAATGACTAAATTTGTTAGAAATAGATACGAAACGATAATATTACGTTAAAATGTATAAAATGATAAACTCTGACTAAACATTAATGGATAATAGTCTTTGTGCTATTCCACTGAACTCCAAATTATCTTGAAATATGCATATGTCTACTCAGAGCGAATACATGTTAAAATATTTTTTTTTTAAAACGACTCTGAGATGTCCTTAACAGAATAGAATAAACATAGACTTATTATGGTAGACAAAGATGAATAGTGGATAGCAGTAGAATCCAGGACGCGCGTTTCGTCCTATTTGGGACTTGTCAGATGGATGTACCTGTTGATGTCCATCCTGAGACTCGAACCCAGTACCTTTCGCTTCAAACGCCATCGCGTTATCCACTCAGCTACTGAGTCCTGATAGCCACTTGTTTGTGCAATGGGTGAAGTTTAAATTCACTTTGTATTGGTTGTTTGAAAACGCGCGTCCTGGATTCTACTGCAAGCCATTATCCATCTTTGATTATAATGCTTGCGAATTAAGGCAATATCGATGAAATCCGTACAGGATGCACATATGCCAATGGGAAGACATAAACAATTATTACAAAAATAGTGGGGAATCTCTTTATATCCAGTTTCCTTGTAACAACACTCTGTAAATAATTATTGATAAAGAAAGTTAGCGATGATAGTGGAGTAAGAAATAGAATTGCACTCTAATATAAGATAAAGTTGTATCCAGCTTGTTGAATAGTTACTCCAGGGTGTAAGAATAAACTATGTTTGATCATAGATAGGAAATTCATCACCGAATTTTTTAATTGATCTGAGGAGAAAAAGAACAGAAATAACTAGTGAAAAAAAGAAACACTGATACTAGTCAGACAAACTTGAAGGACTCATTCATTTCATGTCTAATTGAAGTCGACCAAAATTAAATAATAAAAGAAGAAACAATAATACAGATTTCATGATTTTTAGAGATTGAAATGATTAAACTTTTATCCCAATAGATTTGATTAAACACAAATAGTTGATGATGAAAAATAAGTTATATGTTTGAATGTTTTTTGTTCAAATTAACGGTATACATCAAGAATCTTTACCTTAAGTTGTGCAAACAAAGTTTATACAATAGACTCTGGTGAGAAAACATTTAAGAGAATACAATTGGCTTGAGTTTTGATGGCAGTTAGATAAGCCTGATAGTTATTTAAACCTTCAGTTGTATGTGTAGTAGCCTAAAGAAAATCAAAATCGCATATTTAAAACAGTATGTTACTCTCCATAAGGGATCGAATAGGCGTAGAAAATAGTTATATATAAAAATAGGATTATACCATTAATATAAGAGACACTTATCTACCCTTAACTGACCATAGCCATTTTATGGTTTGCAAAAATAGTATATTTATTGGCACGTAAGAATTCATCATACGATACAAACGCACGCATTACACCTGTAATCATTCCAATAGATATACCAAGATATACAGGAATTTTCCGTGCTCTTCTGCCGACTTTATTCAATTCTTGTTCGGATAAAACGGGACTGCAATAAAATAAACAACAACAGATAGTCTAAGATTTTCACTCGTATTTAAATTATAGTTATTATTGACTACAATAAAACCAGTGAAACGATATTTCAAGGCTAAGTTGTAAACTAGATCCATTTGTGGTTGCACCATCATAAATGAATTATTCACCTACCGAATGTCCCAGCCTATATCTCATTATCTGGATCCATCTGGACATTGATAAATACCCGTGAATTTTAAGTACCATATTCAGTTTTTAAAGAATACAACTTTTTATTTTCTTTCTCTCTTCACAGTTGGGTTAATCAAGTGCTGTTAGTGTTCATCATAGCTGAACCGGAAACCGAACATTCACAATCGTCAATACAAAAATGTCGAATTCTACCAAAAATATGAAATATCTTACAAACTGACGTTCAGTTATGAACTTCAAAAATGATGACATAATGCTATTCAGTGACGACTCTGACAAAATGCAGGGTTTTCGTATCGTCTCAAGAAACAATGCAAGCATGTTTATGATGAGTTTCTCGCTGAACGAAAGATTTAGCCTTAAGACTGATTGGTGTCAACTCCTGAACTAATAATAGGAAGCGAAACAGTTGAGTGCATTGACTACTTCACTTATATTAAAAGTCTCATCAACTCTGGTGAATCAGTATCTGGAGAAATCCCATCATGGGGTCAGAAAACTGAACTGGATTTTCTCAACTTGTAGCGAGATTCCCGTCTTCCAATCAAAGAAGTATACTGAGCACCAGTTGATTTTCTTACACTTTATAGCTGTGGAAATGGTCTATAAAAGTTGAAGACATGTTTACACTGAAGTCTTTTGATCATACGTGTCTTCGAAGCATTGTTCTTGTTTCGTGGAATGACAGAGTGAGCAATGTTGAGGTTAGGTAGAGGGTACTAGGAGAAGGGAGCAAATAGGTTGATGTAGCGAATCTTCATCAACGGAGATGATTAAGAAATCTGTTACGAGTATCTGGCCACTACTTACATCAACGAGAGATATTGTAAGAAACCTAAGGGCAGCCAAACCAAGGTATGATATCATTCCACAAAGTAATTGACTGTTCGTCTAAGCCACGTTAGCAGAAGAAGAGTACCAAATTGGTGTCAGTATGATAACCCTGATCTGGAGTTGAATAATTTGGGTGAAATGGTTGTAAATAATTTAAAACTGCACTCATGCATTCAGTCGGTCAGCTACAACATAGCGCTATACGTAAATATGCACCGGTTTAAGTTGCCATACCTCATTAGCACAACAAGATGAACACCGGATTCATAGAAGTAGTTAATTTAGTGCTGGTAATATATAAAAGAAAGATTGTATATAAGGATATAGTACAGGAAGAAAGATATGTATGAAGCAATTTTAATATCAAGGTTTAGGGGAAGACAAAGAGCGTATACACCTGCACCATTGTGATCGATTCTAAGTGATTTCACTAACCATTGGTTACGATAGTCACGCGAACCCCAACCAAGTAATCTGCATCTACCAACATGGCTCAGACTAGAAGTTAATGACTTTAAGCACTGATGCCTTGTTTTGATTTGGCCGCCCTTAACTCTCTTCCAACCATCCCCCTTTACTAGTCAGCATAGGGCGTCGTGGTAATCGGTGTTCAGACATACATGACACGTGGTCCAACGATCTCAGTCGATGAGGATTCATGACCGCATCAACTGATGATGATTATGATGATAATCGCCCGTTGTTTGGTGGTGAAATCAATCGAAAATCACTGATGTCAATGCATAATCTTTAATGATAATCACTTTGATTGCTATTCAGTTGAAATGATATTCATAAATTCACGAATCCCTTATAGAATCGATTGGTGTGGTCTGTTGATGAATTCAAATTTAGGAGGATACAGCTTTTCGTTACTTATAAGTTTTCAGTGGTGTCAGTAAGCTTTTTAAAGCAGTAATAGTCAACTTCCTAGATTACAAATAAAAAAGACTTTTCTGTCTCCTAATCTAAAGAAAATTATCGTTAGGAGAGAGGTGCTTTATAATACGTACAATCAGTCCATTAATAACATTAAATCTTACGACAGATTATCAACGAAAGTGTAGAACTATGTGTTTTAAACGTTAATTACATATAAAATAAGCTTATTCATTGGTTGTAAGCGATTTGTTCAATAGAAAGAACAGTAATATAGTGAACAAAGACTTGGTGGGAATAACCAGTTGATTATATAATGCAAAATTACAGAGTGCTTTCGTAAAATATGAAAACCACATATTAAATATATTATTTGCACATCTTCCATAAGTTGTTCTTTACATGCTTCATGGTTCCTTCAATCATGTTTTTGTTACAATTACTTTCTGTTTCCTATCCCGTTCTCTTCAAATGAATCTTCTCAATCTCCCGGTGACTTGCAATCTACTTCCTATTAGTGCTACATACTACTTACATCTGTCAACTTAAGCAGCATACACCACAGTAGTAACGCAAGGTATCTTCGTAAAAATATAGATTTCAGCTTGATGTATCAGTAAAACCTTTAATCAACATTTGTTAATGTACAGCAAGATATTTAATTAAGTCCCAAAACAGCTATGATAATTAATACAGGACGAATTAGATGAAAACCGACAGTTTAAAAGGGATTATGTACTAGGATGAATAAAAGTAGTTAATTTGATTTGTCTACCTTAACAAACAAAAAACAGACATAAAAAACTTACTCTGTTGAGAATACAGCAAGAATACGATCATAGGCAGTAGATGAATAAAGACGATCTGTCAGTGAAACTGGTTTTGAATAATGATCTCTTTTATCTGGAATAAGTTCTGGAATAGTTTGATTATTAATAGCTTCATCTCTATCTTCAAGTATACTGTCTAATTTTTCAGTATTGATGGCCAATAAATCTTCATCAGTGTCTGGAATATTCATAACTAAACTTGATAAAAAAGAAGGCAAAAAATAGTTAACTGACAATAATAAAAAACATTTGGAAAAAAACTGAAGAATAAAAAATTTATTCCCATTATTTCAAACAAACACAAATATGCCACCACACCACGAAATGTTCTTTAGCAAATAAATAATGGTAGTCTACATTTACTTTGAAACACTTTCATTTTACCAATCAATGATCACGTAAACAATGAACTTTAAAAAGAGATATCAGTAGGGGCCTACTAACATTAAGAAAAACATGACGTATGGAAATAAAACAAAATGCCGTTAGTAGATTAGACGAGAACAATCAGATATTGATAGAGTGAGTAATAGGACCCTAGCTTATGAAACCAGGACAACTAACAGAACAAGACCAAAAATGAATGAAATCTAGTGACTTTATGGTAGGCCACGAACCAAACACTTATCTACGAATGAATGCCACATTTTCAGGGACCCTTAAATGAAAATCCATCAAAATAAACTCGGAAATCATTAGAAGAGCTGATAGATACATAAAATCATCGGATGAAGTTTTCGATACACTTTTAGGGTAAAATCAGGAAAAGTCTGATCGACAGTAGAGGACTGATGGTATTCTATATCAGGGCCATTTGTGTCAATTGAACTAAAGGTAGTATACAACACTGTTTTTTCTCCCCGTCAATAATACGAGTCTTCCAGAGTACATAAAGAAATAATTTAATTGCACACATTAATATGCGCTGATTGAAATATTTCCAATTTAGTATTAAAATTGACTCGACATAGTTGATTCTGCTCAGAGGTTAATTACGTATAGTAATGTAAATAATATTTAAGAGTAAATGTCTCATTAATACTTCACTATTCAGTGTAATTCTATTTGAAAAAATATTGAAAATTCCCGCTGTGTACATTAGAACACAACATAAGACTGAACAATGTTTTTCAATTAGATGCATTTAAGTTTGTCAATAAAACAGAATCCTTTTTGGTTTGAAATTGCAAACTAAATTTCAACAATGCAATGTATGATTGGTCTGACAAAACATAGATAATCCTTCGGAAACAGCAATAACCAATGGCTACAGTACTTTCTTGATTTATTTACTTTTGAGTGATCACTGTTATGGAAATAGAATACTTATGTAGCGGTAAGATAACTTAAGGTGAGCTATCGGATATCTCGTGATCATAGTCTATAAATGCTAAATCAAATTAATTTTCCAGTCATATCATGAGAGCTAGCGCAGTTATTGAAGCAGTTAATTTAATTTGTTAGACAGAAAACGGCTTCTATACACGTAAATCCTTAGATATAATTTAATACATGATAGATTAAAAAGTGAAATCCAATTTTCATGAGTTAATCAAAAGATTAGATTAGTTGTAGTCGTTAACAAACGTTTAGTGATCCAAGAGATCTGAATGGCTTACCTAAGTGAACCTGGATATACTGGATATAACTAACATGAACAACGAAATATGAGAGTATCAACTGACAGTTTATTTTAGGGTCGGATGATGCACTAATAATCGGAGTAAAACCTAGAACGAATGTTGATTAGATCAAGCTGCCATAATACAGCACGACGTAAAGTTCGATACCACTACCAACAGTTTATGAGCAGATTTAAAGTATACGCACTCCAAAAAGCTTTATATAGACCAAATCAAAGTTGGGATTATTCCCAGTGTTCATTACTGCTATCGTATATGTACTTGAGAACCTTATGGGCCGTGCAGAAGTAGATGATGCCAACAGAAACTTAAGTCGCTGTAAGTATACTTCAGCTGTGAGTTCTTGAAAATTAGGGAAATCAACTTGAAAGTTACTAATCTAGGTTAACGATATTTGACATTACAACTTTCACGACGTAACTCTACTGATAACTTTTATCCTACTACTTAGCGAGAGGAGTATTTTAGATAATCAAGCAACCATTACCTAATAGTGCTGATGACTTAAACATCTATCTAGTCAGTAATGGTTATTGTTCAATATGCACTGTCATTACTTATAATCAGACAAAAAAATCGACAAAAAACTTCGTAGCTAGTATTAGTGTTATCACCAGAAGGTATAAAATCCTCAAATTTCACATTTCTATCAAATCCAGTGCCTTATATTTATCTTCATCTAATTAACATACTAAAAAGGCGAATAAATACAATAGATTATGTGAATTTAATGCGGTAGCCGCAAAATCTGAAAAGACAATACCAAATCCAAAATCGTAACTTAGTACAACTCATAAAAAGAATTTTCAAAAGACAATCCAAGTCGAAAGCAAACAGGAAGCGAAGAAAACTGCCACTCAGTCCCTATTTCATTTCAATGAATGGTGTTTTAGTTATTACTACCATCCTGAAAAACTTAAGGGAACAAAGCACATTTAAAAGACACAAAGAATCTGAGCACAGAACCGAAGTCAGGTATTTTAAATGAAGCTGCCTTACATTCGAAAATTATTATTTACCCATTTCATCTACACAATGATTTGGCTTGTAAAATCATCAATATCTATAATTTTTCAACGACGTTCATATGTATCTCAGTGATATGATTATCTAGGGATAATGCTACAGTTTTCACCTCATAAACAGGTTGATTAGTACCATAAATACTACTACTCGATAAACGATGGTCATGCTTTAACATATCATCCGAGAGTTTACTAAAGAACAAAATATAACTCCGATTGATATAATCTATTACGTGCAATAAGCTTTATCAACGATGAAAAACCTTACTAGACAGTCTTACATAACAGTAAATAAATAAATAAATAAATAAATAAATAAATATATATATATATATATATATATATATATATATATATATATATGGAAAACAAGTTGAATAAACTTCGTTGAAATCTAATAATACAAAATTTCCAAGTATACAACGACAACACTACAAAAATGCATGAGAATAACAATCACTAACTACATATACTCGAAAGAAAAGCATAAGACATACTTTAATAATAATAGTAATAATAATTTTATTTGGTAGTGAATATCACACAATTAAAAATATCACATTTTTTCCGTTCAAACAAGTAAAAATAGTATACAGAACAATTTTATTTTGTGTACAGAGGCATTGAATGCATGGATTTAGTTGGAAGCGGAAGAAAGTATCGACCGGTGCGAAAAAACAGGGTTAACCTTTGATGACTCCAATCGGACGTAATTTGAGCACCTTGTTACTTATTCCAGCTGCTTGACCTAGGTAGAGAGGAAAATCATATATACATGAGAAACAAGTGAATGCTACAAAATACAATAACAAACCCGCCAACAGTTTTTTAATGACAGTAAACACTTTAAAAGTTAATAAATTACTTGAAAATAGAAACATTAAATAAAGGTGGAATGATAAACTTATATCAATATCATAGAGTTTGAACATAATACAGACTTATTAAATTTACAAATTACTAGTAGTCCTGATGAATTTGAAACAGGAGTGAAATTTCAATGACTAAGTGATTTCTATAGACTAATGAAGTAAAAACTAAAATTAGGATTTGATCGCTAGTGACCTAATATTCAAGGTACCCGACCTTTGAGCGATGGGTCGCATGTCCGAATCCTCCATCACTAACATCAATTTAGGCAAACGGATAGTACCCTTAACACCAACATAAAAAGAGGGACTCAAGACAAAGTAGATAGATTTGAAGTTAATTACTAAGTTGCTTGTATAATATAAGTAAACAATGACTAGTACAATACTACTGATTGAAAGAGTAGAAATCTACGAGTCATAACTTGTTAGCGTTTGGAGTAAAACACTCAATATATGATTGGATTACGACGATTGACTATCGTAAAGAAGTGTAGTATTTAATAATATTTTACACCTACGTGAATCATTCGAGATATTATCCACATTTATATTTGACCCCGTCACTTTTTCGCTTGTAACCATGATAGTTCTTATATGAGCGTATATGTGAGCGTGTTTATCAATTACTCTCTTCTTCACAAGTTTCAAACTCGGTTTCCCTGTCTGACTATAAATATTAAGTCACGTCTTGTTAAATTGAGGTGGCACGTTTCCCATATCCGATCAGTTTCTTTTCTAATACTGTCTGCATTAACGCAAATATACAATTTGTTTATCCAACAATCATTTTCGTATTTCACTTGTTTTATTCCGTAATTCGCTAGCCGATGAATATATATATATATATATATATATATATATATATCACTGTTTTATAATAATGGGGTCAGACAACGAGCCTATAAAAGAAATCATTTTAATTAAGTAGTAGGGGGTTAGTATCAGTTGACGAGTAAATTTATGGTTCGTGAAAGTAATGTATACCGAGTAGTTATCAAGACTTAACTTTAAATAATCTATGCGAATTTCATCAAACATAATGGATAAACTAGCGTCAAATTCAAACAACATCCTGTAATATAAGTTTTGACTCAATCTAGAAAAGATGATTTTCTGAAACTACATCCAAAAAACTTAAAGCTCAAAAATGAGGAGCTAGTTGTGATATTCATCGGTGAGTTGGACGTTTAGTAGTTCTATACATCAGATAAAAGTATATTTCTAAAATAAAAGTTGATTTTCTACAACAGTTACTAAAAACAACATAATTTTTAAAGGTCATGGATTAGTAATGTATAAAATAAGCGACCTTTGGAACAAGTTTTAAGAAGCCTTCAAAATAAATGTGATGACACTTTGAAAATATTAAATAGGATTGGTTTTTGTGATAACATTGGCGCGTAATACATTTTAAAAGATGTGTAACAGCTAAGAGCTATAATTCATGTTCTACACACAAAGTTGCCGAATTAAAGTAACAAATAATAGAACTCACAGGTATCTACAACATCTGTTACATTTTTATATGACTCTGGAGCTTCTTCCATCACAAGTTTAGGTGAAGCGACCCGTATTGATATACCTTTTTCCTGTAACTGTGCTAAAACGTCAGTGTAGTCGAGATTACGTCTCGATTTGGCTCGAGATAATGCACGACCCTGAAAGGATGAATAAACAAGGCGAAAATAAAAAACTGAAATCCAATCACAAATTATTTTGGTTTTTTAGAAGTTACGAAATAAATGGTAAAAGATCGTCTAGGTTTTGCCTAGAAGAGTGGAAAATTATTATCAAGTAATTAAACGACAGAAATATTTAACGATACGAGTAGTTGTTTCTATTAACACTTTTGGGTGTAATTGACAAATCTTTTTTTAACTATTTATTTTTAATTTAGTAAACGTTTTAGACGACTTGCACATTTTAATTATTAATTATGGCTAACTGTTTGCATCAGAACAACTGAATGAGTTTGGAACTATTGATGTAAACATAAATGACAATCAGTAAAACAGACTATTGTGTGAAAAATCTATCTGTGGTTCAAGGTACAATTTAAATTGCTATAATGAGTTTAGGTTCGACAGTGAAATTGTCACACTCCCAGTGCTTAATGATCATGTTGTATGGGTTTAATCGGGTTGATAAAAAGGTTTTATAAATACACATCCCATGGTTGATGTTCGCCATATACTCTTATATTCTGATTAAATATTCAACGTAACATACTTCAGAATTTTTTACTGTTGAAATGTTGCATCACTTTTTTTACTTTAGATTTCGCAGCACAGTATGACTACATACCTTTCATTTGGCAACTTGATTCGTTATTTTTGAACAACAATCCTTACGTTCTCTATGCAATATGTTATATTAACGCTTATCATTTCACATCACACATCTCTTACACACTAATACACATACCTAGTTTAGACATTGTTAACGTTGATTGGATGACCTATTCAGTGTACAATGAACCCGGAGACCCATGTACCAGTTTATATTCGATAATTTTGATGTTTGATTATAATTTCTTGAAAAAGCTTGGACCAGATTGCCAGGCGAAAAGTTGGATTTACTACAAATTCATTCGCTGAGATTTTACAAATATATATTATTCCTATTTAATGTCTTACATCAACTCTGCGCTCAAATACTGTGAAACTATTCGCTCTAATTTAGACGAGAGTTCTTATATAAACAATCCTTTGTTTAATTTTCCACTACCATTATTACTATTGTACGTTTTTTTTTATATCTGTCAATTTCCTGTTCTTTTACTGATTTGATGTGTGATAAACTGAACTGATAACTACTTGTGCAGCATCCTATGTTGCTAGGGGGTGACTGACTGATTGATGAGTCATTAAGTTCATAATTGCCCCAAAGCATTCATACTTTATCTCTCGATCATCGATCCCAGTATTCCTTTATACAAACCTTTACGCTCTGTCTTTTTGGAACATATTCTCAGTGCTTAGCTTTTCTCCTCATCATTTCTACTACATTATTTTGATTTCATTCCCTATCCACCTTACTGTTTTTATCTCAACGTGATAATGTGGTATGGCACCTTGGGACACCGTATATGTTTATGTTAGGCTCAACACTGACAATAATTGATTATTTGAAACATCGAATTTCTTACTAAATGTATAATCCATTTAAAATAAGTGAAAAACATATATTTCATAAGAAAAATTTGATATTTTTGATTGATTTTATGCATGAAGTAAATTCTTTACGAGTCGTTTTGACTTGTAAACAAAAATTACCACAACGTTAAGTACTTATTATTACTACTTACAGCACCATGACATGTGGAACCAAAAGTTTCAGTCATTGCTTTTTCAGTACCAGTTAAAACATAACTACAAGTACCCATAGTGCCACCAATAAGTACAGGCTGCCCGGTAAGCTGTGAAAAAAAAACTGGATCAATCAAACATCCAACTTACGAACTGTAGTAAACAAAGGTAGCGGTTAAGAATCCCAATTATGAATTCAATTAAAGGAAAAATAAAAAACACTCATATGTAATGAACTATTCGATAAACTGGAAAATATAAACGCAACGTTTTAACCACTACGTACAGATATGAGTTAGAGTATGATAAACAATAAAAGTGTAAGATTTTAAGATACTATGTAACTACTCGTACTAAAATAAGCAGGACCAGATTCAAATCTTCAACGTCGAAGCTGAATACTTGTGTACCCAAACCACTAGAAAGAAGTTTAATAATCGTGAAATTTTATTTTGTTGAACAATCAAATAATATGACGGGAATTTTTCAGCAATTCAATAATATGAGTTGAATTTTTAATTTTAATGTCGATCAAGTCGAGTTAATCGCCAGTGGAGAAAATCATCGTATTACTTGATTTTTCCATCAGTACGTACAATACTTTTTTAGTGATATACTTTTATCGAATCTAACGGCACAGTCAGACGTTACCACTGAGGTATTCTTTGGCAAGAATTATGAAGGTTGGTTGGTTTTCCAAACTTGTATCAATTGAGTTACTAGCCGATATATCCACCTGTAAAATAAGGGAAGAGTATACCGCAAGGTAGTTCACTCAAAATTCCTCCATGAGGTTTCTTCCCTCTAAATGTAAATTGTTGCTCCATGATTGGCCTGTGTCAACACCTGAACTAAGGATATGGGATGAAGTAGTCGAACACGTCGACAACTTCACTTATCTTGGAAGTCCGATCAGCCCTAATGAGTTGGTGTCTAACAAAATCTCTGTAAGGATTCAGAAAGCTCGTTTGGCTTTTGCCAACTTACGTCACCTATAGCGAAGACGAGATATCCGTCTATAAATTATGGGACGAGTATACTGCGCAGCAGTTTGCGCTGTTCTACTTTACAGCTGCGAAACGTGGCCATTAAGGGTAGAAGATACTCGTAAGTTGCTAGTATTTGACCACTCTTTGTCTTCCCCTAAACCCTGAGATTAAAATTGCTTCATACATATCTTTCTTCCTGTACTATATCCTTATATACAATCTTTCTTTTATATATTACCAGCACTAAATTAACTACTTCTATGAATTCGGTGCTCATCTTGTTGTATTAATGAGGTATGGCAACTTGGACCGATGCATATATGTGCCTGGTCCTACGTTGTAGCTGACTGACTGACTATCAAAAACGGTCTATGAAGACAGAAAGGTGCAAATTTTTGATCATAGGTGTCTTAAAAGTATTGCTTGTCGAACAACAAAGTGATCAGTAGTGAGGTAAGACGTATGATTGTGAGGAAAGTTGACAAATCTGTTAATATTGTTATGAGTTTTCATCGACTGAAGAGGTTGCAACATGTTACGTAGGCGCAGCCAGGGACTACCGTGACGTGCAGTTTTAGTCAAGCAGAAATTAGACATCAGTTTATGGAGCCACTGTCTGTTTTGTTTGAGTAATGCTAGTAGGTGTAGACTACAAAAAGTTTGTGTCTATCGGAATTCCCAAGACAGCTTCAAAAACAAAATTCATGCGCAAGCAAGTAACTCTCGGGCTTGAACAATGTATCCATCGAACACAAATGGTTTTCATTGTGAATAAAATTGACTATTGTAAACCTTTTGTATATGTTTTTTAGGGAACTAACAACCAAATGAATTTATTCAAGAAAGCGACGAGTTGATAAGAATCGAGCCATAAAAGTATAAACAGCACCTTAGGTTACATTCAGGGATTTGATATGGACCCCTAAATTCAAGGAGTAAATGGGAAAGGATGTATGAAGTGGATGTGATTTAAATCAATTGAATAGAATCACGTTCTCATGATAAGTATAAACAGGAAAAAATTTAAGTCATTGTGTATGTTTTAGTACAAGTGATAACACGCTTGTCTTACGACCGATATGATTGAACTCCACTGGTAACGGCAGTGGATGATGGTCGCTTAATATCGCAACCTAACTATAGTTAAGAATGCGAACCAATAGATGACAAATCAGTGGCCCTAGCACTAAGCTATCATTGCAAGACTCAAAGGTCCTCGACAGAGCCGTGGATTTGTAGAGCTGAAGAGTTCCATAGGCACTCCTAGTTCTTGGCTGCTGTTCGCGAAACAAAACTACAATTATAGTTATCAGCCGTTAAATCACATGATTTTAACATAAACAAATGCTAACCTGATAATCAACAGGAATTAAGGGATGATGAGGTGGAAATGCTCGAGTAGATCCTTTACGATGAACTAATAACGTTTTTATTTTGCCATCTACCCAATGTTCTTCTACCTTAGCGATATTATGTGATACATCATATATAATCTGCATATCTAAATCATCTGGTGTAGAATGGAAAATTTTCGCAAAAGCCTATAATAAAAATAAATACATGTTATATTAAGTGAGACTGATGAAAATGGCAAATTCAAAAGTCAGATAAAGCCATCCTGATAATATAACATAAAGTGAATATGTGATATGATATTGTATCACTAGCATGGTAAAAACAGGTTGATCTTGTAGAGATAATCTACACCAACAATTGAATGAAATGCTACTTAATTATAAATCTTTTTTATTATGCATTCAAAAAAATGACATGTAAGGATAAAACGATTATAAATTGGCGTGAATGGTTACTGTACTCGACTTTATAATAATAAGTCGTTGACTTGAATGGAACTTCATTTACCTCTATTTGAGAGGCCGGATAGTATGATCAACCAATGCACAAAAGTATGCTTGAAAGCCTAGAGGAATATTAGACACTTTGTGCTTTATAAACTATATGTGAAGTAGGATTATTAGGTAGTATTAGAAAATATATGTTGGGTTTTAAAGGTTACTTAACTGGCTCCACTTGTATGCACACGTGGATTGAGGTTTGTAAAGAGGCCCCCCTAAACCTAATGGATTTTTGAATGAACTATGTAAAAAAATTTCGGGTAAATAATCAGATTTTGTTACTTACATATTAACATCAAAGAGATCATACAAGCATCATTCAGTGCTGATAAAGGATGATCAGTTTGGAACTTTGATAAAAATCCAGTAATGATGGAAGGGTTTGTTTAAGTGAGAAATGACAGTTTTTTGTTCTACTTTAGTAATCTCCTAAAAGAATTTAGTTATGGTAATAAATCATTCGATTAACTCAATTAACTGCGTTTTTATAATGTGAGGTCCATAAACATTTCATTTACAACATAAAAAGCCATACATACAAAGACACAGGAAGTTATTTAAATCTATATATTAACGCGAACTTACCATGACATTACCAGAAAGAGAAGAGAGTATTTAGAAAGAAAGCAGTCAAATCAAATATGTCAAATAAATATCTATTACATTTTCATTTGTTAGACAAAAAACAAAATGTACAACAATTACGATTGGCTCTAGTTCGAATTTAAATTTTGTAGTGTCTAGAACCATCCGGTGGTAACTTAATGTCTATGAAACTTTCAAGAGAATTAAAATGTGGGAAATAAAGCTGCCTTTCATCCCACGGCGCTCGATCATAAACTGAACTTCTTCCTACTACTTTTAGCCAGTTGCAAAGGAACCAAGTAATAAATGTTACATTATCATTCAGTCGACATGAATAAAACATATCCAACCTACATAATTTGATGTTTTGAAATGGTGTAAAACGACCATATGTTTACTAATATTTAGGAAGTTTACATACACAGTATCTAATATATGTAAATGTTGTGGGGCAAACCAAAGTTTTTACTAAATATTACCTGAAGCAAGAGCAATATTATGTATTGAGGCAGTGTCAGTTTTCGTAAATTTTTGGCAAACCCAACAAGGAAATAGATTATTCTCACCATTATAGAACAATTTCTAAACCATTTAACAAATTGTCGATGGCTAATAAACTTAGAAGATACTTTACCATTTGTTATTTATTTGACGCTAATGAGTTGTTATTCCCTTGTTTTTATTTTGTATTGTTAACACATATCAAAAATGTTAAAGTTATGAAAAACCCCAAGAACTATACAAACACTCGACAGCAATAATTAGCATAAGATAATCAGAAAAACGTAAATATTCGTAGATCACCTGTCTTGCAAGAAATGTCATAGAAGATCGATTAACCCAGGCATAGTTGGCAGCCGCTGCCATTGCTTTCAAATAATCTTGACCTTCTTCAGAATTAATGTGTGCACAGGCCAACTGTCGATCATTTACTTCGATTTTATCACGTTTCATTGCTTTTTCCATGGCGACCAAAGCATCTGTTGCAACCTAAGTTAAGAGAATACATAAGGTAATCTAGGTAACAATCTCAGTAAAAGTAAGGATATAAAGCATACCGCTAAATTAATATATACAGATTATGGTAAAAACCACATAATTAATACTACTTTTCACAAACCTATATATCTCACAAATTGAATACTGGATTTTTCTATTCGAAGTGAAAATGGACAGCACAGGATATAAACCAACAACTAGTATTGCCTTTGCATGGGACTATGAATCATAAGTTAGGTACTTAAAAGTATCTATTGAAAAAAGCGTAGTTGTTAGATATTCTATTTTTCCGTAGCTGCTTAAATAACATTGACAATAAGATGTCAAACTATCGACATATATTATATGATCACATTTTTCATTACAGTGGGTGGTTGAAGATGGAAGCAACTGTTGACAATTCGTTTCAAGTGAAAGCCAGGAAACTTCCCGACGTTGCCTTTAAAACTAGCTTATTAAGAATATGATTATTTTAGCTCAATTAACTATCCAACTAGTCTTTACTAAAAGCTGAAATAAGTGAAAGACATATGTGTACTTGAGCTGAAATTTTAAATAAATAAAAACAACTTGATGACTGCTTTTTTTATTCGCATAGATCTAATCTAGACTTCTAGTTGCTCTGAGGAAAAACGGCTTACTTTCAAAGTTACCGCCTTAATATATAGTACATGAAATATTTTTAATTATCAACAGATTGTACATACCCTAACAGGGAAGAAATAATAAAAAATTCTACTCGATTTTCTCATCTGAAAGATTTTAGCTTTACGTACATATAATAAATATGTGGTCTGCGTAGTTTACAGGAAACAGTTAATACAATCAGATAGAGTCCAGACTTTCCATAATTTTCATAACAAATGAATATGAACAGTTCATCTGAGGGACTGGTTAAAGTATCCTCAAAACTAATAAGCCAAAACATCTCAATATGATTATTCAAGTGAAAATGTGGATTACAATTTATGAATAATGTAGTTCGATTACATAAATGAGAAGAATACGGTTTATTCCTTTTATGTTTGAATAAGCATAATTTACAAATTACAATGTAAATCGATGCTCATCTGTAAATATTCATTATATGTGGCTCGAAAATTAAGTGAATCAAGGGTGTTTTATAAATTAAGAAGAAACTCTTGTGGACTTAACGTCTAGCACATGAGTACCTAAGTACTGTTTCAATATCTGAAAGGAAGTATGGAACTCTATCATCCACAACTAAAAATAAAGTCTAATTAATTCTTGTAAATCATATATCCGATCACGACGAACAAGTTTTTGACACAAACTATGGAAGATATTGGTCCATAAATTTGCTATTAAATATTTTCGCAACATAAACCCGGGAAAGCAGTCATTATGCCGTAATCACATAATCCCCTTAGTTTTTTGTTAGTGCAGAAGTCTTTATCTACCTCAGATAATGTAGAGTGGCCGCGCAATTTCGTGGATCGGTTGAAGTTAGACATTAACACCGTTAAATGCCGGCTCAGTGGTTTAGAGGTTAAGCGTTCGCGCACGAGACCGACGGTCTTGGGTTCAGATTCCGCGCACGGGATCGTGGATGCGCACTGCTTAGGAGTCCCATACTGGGAAGAAACGGCCGTCCAGTGCTCCTAGGTTTTTAATAGTGGTCTAACATTGATCGATTCATAATCTCAATCAATAACCTTCGTAACTATTATTATTGGTCACCATAGAAACACAGAGAATATTGTCTACGTAAAACAAGACGTCTGGCAATAAATCTTCGTTTTGTACGGTCAGCAAACTTTCTGTTTATAGATTTATAAAAGTGAGGGTAAGGAAATGGGGACCAAAAGTGTTATTTTAGTTGTCAGGTAGAAAATTTATTAGAAAGCGTTAACAACATAGTGTGATCGAGAATACATTTTCACTGATTACTGATAGTTCACTGTTCAAAAATATCACAAGAAATATAATCATAAGATGTATAAACCTACTTGATGACCCATTCCTCGACTCCCACAATGAATCATTAGTACTATCTGATTTAAATGATTGATGCCCATTTTAGTTGCTGCATGTTTGTCGAAAATTTCTTCTACAACTTGTATCTCAGCGTAATGATTACCAGCTCCAAGAGTCCCAAGTTGCGGAAGACCACGTTTTTTCGCTCGTGAAGAAACTTTAGAAGGATCAGCTTGAAGCATACGACCATACTCTTCACAATGTTCCTTATCTTCCGCCCAGACATACCCTAATGTATAAAATTTTTGAAGAGTGAATAGTAACATGAGAAGTTATCGGGTCGTGGTCTCATAACGCATTCAACATTGTTTGTTCACTTTACAGGTACGTAAAGTGAATTAACCAATGCTTTAACTTGAAATTATGGAATCATTATTTGGAAAACTATTTTCTACACCCTGTTAACCCATAAAATGAACAAAAATTGTAGGGTACATCACGAAATCGCAGACGGATAACCTGTCATATAGTGTAAAATAATGATTAAGACAAAAAAATAGTTTTCAAAAAAAGAGTTGCTGGAGTGATTTCTAATCACAAACAAGTTATTCGTAATTATTAAACAAACGTGACAGAATTCTAGATGCAAAAACTATGGTACTGAAAAATTAAACAAGAATGATTACAATTTAGTACGAAATGAAAGATGATTAATCGAATGGTAAGGTTGTAAGGCTTCACAAACTAAAGTAGTTGTGACATGTACCGCCATTATCTATCTTGACACTGGTTAATATATTGTAATGTTTACTAAGTATACGTATTTAGGTACTTAGGCGGATCTTCACCACTAAGCCATAGGAGCGACCTACGAAGTTAGTGGTGAGGTATCTCATCCCTATCTGATTAAAAACTGAGACGAAATTCGCCTTTTATCTGCAATAACTAGCTACTTCTACCACGTGAATTGAGGCAAAAGTATACTTCCCGTCTGTTACTCAATATTTGTGGTCAACAGTTATTCATACTAACAGAGAATGAAATCAAAAGAACAATGTGCAATCGTTAAAACTGATATACTATATGTATTTAAAAGCCATAACTTATTTTTAACAAAACAGCTTTCTACCAACTGAGAACGTTCATTCCTAGAGGCTATTTTGAATATGGAAGCCATTCTGACGAAATGTTATACCATATATTTGTATGTACGCTTAATTAGATACATTTTACAGAACTGACATGACCACTTTATCTGTCATACTCCTAGCATAAAAGTCATAGATATACACACATACTTATATATCTCGTGTGAAAGGAATTGAGGGGAATGATGATCAGTTAACAAATATAAACCAGTTTGATATTTTCAAATTAAAGGGCAATTGAACATCCAAAATTATCTCACATTTATAAAAGCTACAGATCCTCACCAAAGCAAGTTTTAAAATATCACTTGTCGAATTGTCTGTATCAAATAGTTATTGATTGAAAAACAAAAGAAACTACCAAAGACTTTCAGGTTGCAATAAAATGTAATTTACCTTGTCTCAAAGACCAATCCATACCCATTTCTAAAGCTTCTTCCAGAGCTTGAGCATCCATCGGTATGATACCCTTGGAACCAACACCAACAGGAATATGATCAAACAAAGTCTGAGTTAACTTTTCTTTCACTGGAAGAACATCTTTTAAATTCAGATTTGTGCGTATAAGTCGGACTCCGCAATTGATGTCGAATCCAACACCACCGGGTGAAACTACTGATTTTGGATTGGTCAGGTCAAATGCAGCCATATTACCTTTAAAAATAGGAAGACTTTAAATCGATTTCACCTAAATATATCTAAATGCAACATTGCTGGCTCACTTGTTGACTTAGAATACGTCGACGACATAGTTTTACTTGGTGAGGACGCTGACAAAATGCAGTCTTCTGACCACTATAAGCAACTATGCAGGCATGTTCGGAATGCGATTCTCTCCCTCGAAGTGCAAAATGTTACTTCAGGATTGGGTTGCATCGACACCTGGACTAACGATAGGGAATGCAGTAGTTGAGCGTGTTGACCGCTTCACTTATCTTGGGAGTCTCATCAGCCCTTGTGGTCTGATGCTTGACGAAATCTCAGCACGGATACAGAAGGCTCGTCTAGCTTTCGCCAACTTGCGTCATTTATGGCGTAGGCGAGATATCCGTCTACCAAACAAAGGACGGGTTTACTATGCAGCAGTTCGCTCCGTCCTACTTTATGGCAGTGAAACATGGCCGATAAGAGTAGAGGATATTCGTAGGCTACTAGTGTTCGATCATAAGTGTCTTCGAAGCATTGCTTGTATGTCCTGGGACCACCGGGTAAGTAATGCAGTCGTTAGGAGACGAGTACTAGGTAAGGATGGCAAATCGATTGATGAAGTAGTGAAACTTCATCAGTTGAGATGACTGGGACATGGTTACGTATGCCCAACCACCGACTGCCCCGACGTCCAATGCTTCATGGTGTAGGAGTAGGTTGGAAGAAAGCTAGGGTCGGCCAGACCAAAACGTGGCACAAATCAATGAAGTCACTGACAATTGGACTGAGCCATGTTGGTAGGTGTAGACTACCTGGTTGGGATTCGCGAGATGATAGCAACCGATGATTAGAGACCTTGAATGACATGGCTCAAAATGGTTTGCAATGGCGAAGGTGCATCCACTCTTTGTGTTCTACCAAATTCTAATCTTCTGAATTCCTCATGTCTCTATCTTTTTCTCTTTCCAAATTTATTTCACTGTACTATACTCCTTCAATAACTTCTTCAAACCCTCAGTCAGTCAGCGACAACGTAGGACCAGGCACATTTATGCATCGGTCCAAGTTGCCATACCTCGTTAGCACAACAAGATCAACACTGGATTCATAGAAGTAATTAATTTAGTGGTGGTAGTAGTATATAAATTATAGGTTGTATATAAGGATATAGTATAGGAAGGAAAAAGTTATGAAGCAATTTTAATCTCAAGGTTTAAGGGAGGATAAACAGTGTATACACCTACGCCATTGTGATCGATTCTGAGCCATGTCACCCAGAGTCTCCAACCATTGGTTACGATAGTCACGCGCACCCCAACCAGGTAGTCTGCATCTACCAACATGGCTCAGACTAGAAGTTAGTGACTTCAAACACTGATGCCATGTTTTGGTTTGGCCGCCCCTAACTCTCTTCCAACCATCCCCTACACTAGCCAACATTGCGCGTCGTGGTAATCGGTGTTCAGGCATACGTAACACGTGGCCTAACCATCTCAGTCGATGAAGATTCATCACCTCACCAACTGATTTACCATCGTTCCCTAATACCCTGCGTCTAACCTCACTATTACTTACCCGGTTATCCCAGCAGATGCGAGCAATATTTCTAAGGCATCTGTGGTCAAACACTAGTAACTTACGAGTATCTTCTACTCTTAATGGCCATGTTTCGCAGCCGTAAAGTAGAACAGAACGAACTGCTGCGCAGTATACTCGTCCCTTAATTGATAGACGGATATCTCGTCTTCGCCATAGGTCACGTAAGTTGGCAAAAGCTAAACGAGCTTTTTGAATCGGTGGAGAGATTTCGTCAGACACCAACCCATTAGGGCTGATTAGACTTCCAAGATAAGTGAAGTTGTCGACGCGTTCGACTACTTCACTCCCTATCCTTAGTTCGGGTGTTGACGCAGGCCAGTCCTGGAGTAATTTACATTTGGATGGGGAGAAACGCATCCCAAACATCCTGGCATTATTACTGAGTTCCAACAGAAGACTCTGCATTTTGTCAGCGTCCTCACCAAACAGGACTATGTCATCTGCGTATTCTAAGTCGATAAGTGAACCTCCTGGTAGAAGATCAATTCCTGAAAATTCAGTCGACGAGAGTGTTATTTCCAGCAACAGGTCTATAATGAAGTTAAACAAAAATGGGGATAGTGGACAGCCTTGACGGACACCACTTGAGGTTGTAAAATCATATGACAGTTCGCCATAAGCTCTCACTCGACTGGTAGTGTTCGAGTAAAGAGCCTTCACAAGGTTTATGTACTTCTGAGGTACACCTTTCAATGACAGACACTGCCACAGAACCTCTCGGTCTACAGAGTCAAATGCTGCTTTTAAGTCAAGAAAGACTATCATTGTCGGACGCCGATAAGCATGTCTGTGCTCTAAAACTTGACGAATGGTGAATATGTGGTTGATACAGCCACGACCAGGTCTGAAGCCAGCCTGATTTTCTCGTGTTTGCAGTTCACGAGTCTTAGTTAGGCGCCCGATAATTATTGAGGCTAGTATTTTAGATGCTATGTTAGTCAGACTAATCCCTCTGTGGTTATCACAGGATGATTTTGGCCCCCTCTTATATATTGGGACAATCAGAGATTGTGACCAGTCAGATGGGATTACGTCCATCTCCCAGATTTTAGCTAGAATATTAGTCAGCCTAATCGCTAAAATTGGACCACCATATTTAAAGACCTCTGGAGCCAATCCATCTGGACCAGCTGCTCTTCCCCGTTTCAGATTACCTATAGCCTTTTGGACTTCAAGTAAGGTCGGAGGGCCAACTTCAACGTTCCATTCAGACTGTCTGGGAATAGTGGGTAATTCTGCAGTAGCTGAAGGCCAGCTAAACTGCTCCTTAAAGTGTTCCGCCCATCGTTCTAAACGTTTGGGTTGAGAGCAGATAAGGGTTCCGTCTTTTTCCGAGATTGTCTCACTTACACTTGACTTCTTAATTCCGGTTTCTTTTATTAGTCTGAATAGTTGCCTAGTGTTGCCTACAGCCGCTGCCTTTTCCATCTCTTTTGCTTTCGTTGCCCACCACTGCTCACGATCGTTCCTTAGACTTTTAGTTAACCTAGATCTAATTTCTTTACGCTCTTCGTCGTGTTCAGAGCCTGGTGGGATGAGTTTACGCAAATCCATCAGTGAAATAGACTTGGAAGAAATCCATTGGTTTTTTGGAGCCCTATGATTTAAATGATTAATAGATGTGACTGCTGTTTCCACAGCTGTTCGTGTGTCTTTCCAGGCAGCATCTGGGTCAGTCTCGTTTACAGAACTGCCTAGATGTGAACTCAGTTGTTTCTGGAATTCGCACTTGGCTTTCTCGTCCTCCAGATCAATCCTAATGGGTCTTCTTAGTGTACTTTTCCTGCGTCCATTGAGGCGCAGACAAATGCGCGCTCGTATTAAAGCGTGATCAGAGTCTAAACAAGTATTCCAATATGAGCGACAATCTTCTATTGAGCCTCTCCAACGATAACTGATGACAATATGGTCTATTTGAGTCCATCGTTGGTTTGGTGAAGGTGGTCGCCATGTTAGACGATGTCTCTCATGCTTAAAATTAGTGCTTGCTAAAAATAAACGATTGTCTGAGCATAGTTGCAACAGACGATCACCATTATCGGTTCGTTGAGCCGGAATACTAAAACACCCACCTAAATGTCTTTCTGTTTGATTTAAGCTGCCTACCTGGGCATTAAAGTCACCCGCTACGACTACTATGTCTGAGTGCTTAGCTTTCTGAAGAAGCTCAGAGAGTTTTCTGTAAAAGTCATCTTTTACTTCATCATGGCTGCAGTTAGTGGGAGCGTAGACAGAAACGACGAAGAGGCAACGACGTGTGTCCCTATCCTTCCGAGTTCTTACGGAGCCATTTAGCCGGACAGCACACAGGCGACTGTTAACGGGGACCCATTCTAGTAGTGCCTGTTCTGCCGTTTTACTTAGGGCTATGCCTACACCTGCAAGTCCACGAGAACTAGCCAACGGGTAGCCAGATACACGGAGGGTGTATTTCGTTGGCTGTCCATTTTGGCGAGGTGAGGTCAAGTGAATGAACACACTAGGATCCTGTATGCGTGTTTCGGAGACACAGCATACATCAATGGTACGCGACTTTAGGGTTTTAGCTAAGGAGGCCTGTTGACCGATTTGACTTAAAGTACGTACATTGAAGGCTCCAATGTGTAGTTTGGAGCGAGGTTTTAATAGACCTGGGACAGCGTTTCGCGCACTAGAATCGTTGTCCATGGTGACACTTGAGGAGGAAACCGGAACAGGAAGTTTAGTGTTGAAAGTCAAGGTAGAAGGAATAGTAGGAAATGAAGGAGATTGATTATGAATACAGTGGTCTTGAGTGCTGTTAGAGGTATGAGGGCACTTTTCACTTCCCGGTTGCCCACACCGTGGAAGGGTTCTTCTAGGGGTACCTGAAAAGGAAATTGGGTTAGAAGTGGTCTTAATGACCTGAGAGCGTGACCGCAGTGCCCAAGGGACAACTGCTTGAGGTCGGTCACACACGACCTTTTTGTGGGTAGTTTTTGTGTTAGCTCCGTTCTTCAAAGGACCTTACCGCCGGAGACGGAAATCCGTGGGATAAGGCGAGGTGTGCATTTTTAGGGTCGACCTTTTCTAACCCCACCCCTCCTTGTGGGAAGGCAGCATCGCTGTCATGCTGGTTGTCTGAAGGAAACACCTTACTGCCGTCACACCTCTGTACAGTCGGCAGTACGACTTCGCCTTCGGACCTTGGGATTGCTGCTTTTAGTCTTACCGCTATTCAACCGACCTGTCTGGCATGGTAGGACCTCGAGGAACGACTGTTCCAGACAGCATAGCTCGATTGCTTCATCACGATAGGCAAGCCCGACCACCACGTCAAGGTAGCAGCAACGGTCCCTAATCATTTGGATTTCTGATTATACTCTTACTGCTTCTACCACTATGGGATTTGAATCGACAACTGCATCTCTGTGCTAATGTGGTATGGCAACTCGAACTCATGTACGTACGTACGAAGTTCTACATTGTGACTGACTGACTTACTGTTTAACTGAAACGGATTATAGTCCAAAAAGACAAAATGGCATTTTATCATTCAAGGACCATTTATAGTTAAGGCTAATATATAAAAATTTACGTAATCGCAAAATGAATTACGAAAATTGATGTTAGTGACTCTCGTTGAATACTTAATAAAGTTTCCAAATACTAATATCTCATTGAACATTGGGGTCACTTTGACAACTTAACATGAAACAAATCACCTTTTACTGCACAGATCAACGTCGCTCCAAAAAAACATTCACGAAGTTTTACCTTAAAACATAAATAATTTTTCAGGTGAGAAGATATATTTACACTTTACCTGAAAAACAATCATGAGACATCAACAACTATGAATACGAATACGATTTAGTACGGACATACATGGTTGTGTTACTTCGTAAACTATGTCTGTGTGATTCCCAACAGTTTAACATAAGTAGTGATCGATCAATAATCCAAACAACTGAGCCAAATTCTCAGCTAGATTTGTTAGGAACTGTTTTAGCTCAATATCAGAAACTGAGTCCTTAAAAGACTGCTAGAATAATAACACTTCCTCAGAAAAACAATTTATGAGATGCATAATGATATAAAGTCATAATGATTACTTTTTAAAAGGATAGGCCTGTGTGAAGTATGACCGTATCTTAACATTTGGCGGAGGGTGAAGATATGATCAATACATCCTCGAAAATCAGCCTGTTCCCCGCAAGTTAATCTTCCTCGAGCTTTGAACAATCTATGGAATATGACGGAAGCCAACAGTTTAGACGCAATCGGAAGTAGACGTATCCTCCGATAGTTGTTAGATCAAAAACGTGAACCTTTTTTTAAGATAGCAATAACTATCGACTCATTCCACGATGTCTGAACACTCTTTAATTATCAGACCTTTGTAAATAACTCAGTCAAACAGCGAAAGTAGGTACTTTCGTTTGGAAAATATTATTAGGTGGGATGTCTAAGACCTTCAAAATACATGTAGGAATGTAAGCCCTTGAATTTATTAATAAGATATACCCAAGATACCCACCGAAAGAGGTCGAACATCAGGTTCTTAAGTAAAAAACCTCGTTTATTATGAAAGCTAATATTAAAAATAGTACATATAGTCCAATAGTTTGTGACTTACCGATGGCAAAGCCATATCCAGAATGTACATCAGGTAAGCCGACTGAACGCTAAGAAAAAACAATAGAACAGGTGAAAGTCTAAAATTTCCGTATATTTATCGTAGTCGTGATGTCCACCAAGAGTTAGGTAATATGTAATTTCCTGAGGCATACTAATAAACTTACTCTTAAAGTAGACTAATTGGAAGTTGCTTTTCGGTTATATTTAGTTAAATTTTTCATTCCTAAATTGAATTAGTAATACGTTTTCTAGCATGCAAAATTTATTTTATTTACTTAAACATAAATATTGGTACAAAGAAGCACCAGATATATATGCGCCGCACAAATCTCATTCGATTTGTGTGAGGGCTGTGATGCTGCACAGGTTCCCAAATAGAAGCAGGTGGTTTTCTTAGGGACCCACACCTGGAGCCTTTGACCTAAAGATCTGATCCACAAGGCAGTGGAGCATCGTGAGGAGATGCAGTCCCATGGTAGCCGGTGATCAACGATTGATTCACACGCCATTTTTCCCTCAGGATACTGGAGCCCATGTACACCACTGGTTTGGAATCAGGGTTTTCCAACTCCCCTAAATGGAATTTCTGTGTCCACCAACCCTGTTAAAGCGCCGAACATTCAGTTTTCGTCCACTCAATTTCGTAAACACCCCCGCCACGAGAAGGGAGTAAGTAGGACTTCCCTGGCAGAGGCTATATACGCGTGGCCATGTGAGAGCATTTGGAGAGGGAGAGCGGACTCTACCCACTCTCGGCCGTACCAGGGCATTTGGGGGCATGCAAAAAGGGGGTTAATGAAGATGAAAAAGGAATTAAATAAAGCTACAAATTTAGAGAGATATCTTGTGATTCGCACTTACCTATGAATACTAGGAATAACTGGATATTGGTAAAGATATATACATTCTGAACTAAGCTAAGAAATATGGGTGGTAATTTGCCAAATAAACTGATCACCGAGATTGAGGGTTCCTTAAGCCTCTGATGCCAGGTTAACTTTAAAGTTTAAACTGAGAAAAGAAATCCAGACCCTCAAACTATCTCATCGATACCTATGAGCCATGTTGAATTCTAGAAAAATTTCGCTAAGTAATTGAATATTCTCTAACACCGTTGACAAATATAACAGGTACAAATAAGTGCGTCTCAGGAATGTTTGAGGCTTTGTAGGAAATAGTTGATACACCAAACAGAAATTCACAGTGTGAAAAAACGGAAAATAAACGTGAGACTTTTATACATTAATATTGACTTCAATATTAATAATAAGCGTATACTTAGTCATGCAAAGCTTCACAACTTACATGGACAATTCCAGGCAACGCTGCAACATTCCCTATTTGCTTCATACCTGGTAGGAATCCACCATAATCTCCACTACGGGTAAAATTTCGTAGTTCGTCAAACATAAGTTTTTCGAGAAAGTTATTTACGTAAAAAACACCTTCAACCTATGCACAAGACAAATCAGTCGTATGAAACAAAAGACTTGCATTCATGTTTGGGACAAAGCCTTTCTTGATTTTCCAACAAGTTGGGGTGATCTTTTCCAGAAATGCCAGTTCTTGGTCATACGTTCTTGCCATGATGTAGCGCACCGGTTGAATAATGCACGCTGTTCGGTTCCAAACCTAAAATAAGTCTCAAACATTGGTTCACAGGAATGATTAACTTTATTTTTATCACGGTCTATTTTTAGTTGATATGATGTATTACCGCTATTGAAACAAAGTTTGTAACCAATTAATCGCAGTGTAATTCAAAGTTTGACCGGTATCCTGTAGTCGCCTTACCTCATAAATCTTGTTAGTTTGGTTAAAAGAGAAAAATGGCTTGTCAAGCATTCAATATTTAATGCAGATATCGTTTACTCTGACTGTTTGGAGTTCCTGAATGTGAGAAGTCGACTATAGACATAAAGATGCCACAAGTGCTCGGCGTTAGACAACACCAGTAACACTTTTATGATCGAAGTATTCCAACCTGATCAAATCGAAACTCATTAATGAAGAGGTTCGAAGATATATTTGTAAGGCCATCAATATATTGATAAGCGTTGACTATAAACTGGCCATCAGCTCTAAGAGATGCGTAGCACGGTATAACTACTTGTTATCTGGTGTGGTTTCGTGACCGAGTGCCTTTATCTAGACGTATCCGTTAGCACTGATGAGGTCAGCATCAAGTCTCGAGGACCTACAGAATTGTTGGTTCTAGGGACGTACCGCTACAGCTCACTCCCCCAGTAGTGGAGTAGTGGTGAACCTAAAGCCTGGGCAGTCAGAAGTTTAAATACGAGTTTTTGACTAATTACCACTTCTCTGATAGCCTACTATGTTCGTCGACATCTGGTCGTCTTTCCTTACTAAAAGGGGTCATGTAGTGAAATATAATAATGGGAAAACAAGTACAATGAAAATTTCGATCCTTCGTAATGTTCGTTCTTAATCTTCCCCAGATGTCCTGAAAAAAAGAAAAAGGATGTGTGGGTGCATTTCAAATTACACTCCTACGTCTGTGGGAGCACAAATGGTCAAAAAAAGAAGCAACATACACATGCTTTCCGTAAACATGCAATGGTATAGAAAAGATTTTCGGACAATGAATGTTTTATGGAAAAATATGTATGTATATAAGCATACTAACAGCAATAAATTGTCTAGTTTATTGAGTAAAAGGTGTATATGTTTTCACTTTCTGTACATAACAATACAAAAAATCGAGGTGAAACTAAGTGTTATTTAGTGTCTTGAGTGAAGCAATCATTTAAGTGTCCAGGAAATATTACCTTTCTTTCAGAACGGGTTGTTTTAGGCAGTTTCTTTGTGACTGTAGATTATGTGGTTGTGTATCGTATTTGTGAGGCTCGTGTCATCTGAGTGTACTAGAGGAAAATCAACATTATAAGAGTCTCCTAAGCACGCGGCATTAAGGCAGTCAATGCTGATACTATAATTAGTTCCCTTCTTATTGACGATATAGTACTTAGGTTTACGTTGTAGGACCTTGAAGATTCCTTAGCATGGTATGTCGAGAGGTCGTTGTAATAAGTAGCAACGTACACAAGCGCGTGAACTATATCATAATGCAAGTTGAACGAAAACGTCAGTTTACTGCGGTCGAGTGGAAACAGGTTTAACTGAACGCATGGCGTTTGTAAGCCTGCTTGTATAGGAGTTTAGATTCGCTTCATTGAAGATATAGAATCCACGAATCCTCATGGAATTTAGAGTATTTCTCCGTGAATGAGTTGTCCTGCATTATATCCAATTTCGGCTCACACTGCATTGCGAAATAACAAGAAACACGAATTAAAAATTCTGCAGCTGAGGGGGAAGTTTTAAGCTGTCGCTGACATCATTCTACCTACCTGTTTGCTTGTGGGTGGCAGGCGGTCGTTCAGAATCGTGTTATTCCTAGTAGTACAGTAAGACAGCGGAGAATCTCAGACTGTAATTGGCATCTGCGGTCTTTAGTATCAGTTGAAATGTGGCATAAAATCGCTACTCATTGTTCGACGAAGGAGTGAAGTCACTGTCTCAGTTGTAACGCCATTGATAGGTACTGTTGCTAGCAATCGTGTGAAACAGTTCACACACGGTAGAAGCTAAAGGTATTCATCTGAATCCAGGCATGATCCTACAAAATCCATATGAACATGATCAAAATGAGTGTCGGGAGTTGTTAAAGAGCCTAAAGGACATTTGTTTTGACTAATCACTATGGCTTTATGTAAGCTTAGATAAGAGCGTGCCCAAATCCTCACGTCTTCATTCATGCCAGGCCAGTAAAATCGTTCTGCTATGAGCCTGATGGTTTACACAAAAGCCTGAATGAGAAAACTTGTTCAGCGTATAGAGGACTTGTGTCCATAAAGTTGCGACACGACTGGACGACCTTTACCTGCGGATGTGACGCATAGCGAAGTTTCCCGGCTTGTTCCTGTCTATTTGATGCTTAGTTTCAGGGCTATGGGATATAACTCGTGCTGAAGATCAGTGTAATACTTCTGAAGCTGGATGAGTCTATGAAGGTCAATTCTTTGGACACTGTTCAAGGAACTTATACCAGACGAAGCGTCTGCAACTAAACTGTAAGCTCCAGAACTGTGTTGCATATCTGAAGTAAACTGCGAAGTGTAGTCCAATTGTCGAGACTCTCTAGGGGGATACCTGTATGAAGACGAGCTAAGATAGAAGGTGAAAGGTTTGCGGTCGACAAATAGATTGAATTCGCAGCCTTCCACGGAGTGCTGAGAGTTCATTACAGCATCATATATGGATAGGAGTTCATTAACGAAAGTGCCATAACTCGATTCCATGTCTCGAGGCCGTCTCAAGAAGAATTCCGAAGATTGTCAGTTGTTGTTAACACACTGACTAATGACTCCTCCAACTCCCAGTCGGACTCGTCTACCGTGATATTGATCAGTGCTTTGATGCCGTGCTTTAGCCATAACTTTGTTAACAAAGTAGAATGCCTTTTCGAGTTGTCGTCCAAACTTATGATTCCCACATTCTCATGAGGTTGGCCTGTTGTGAGTCTCATCAGCGACACTCAATTCCGTATGAACCGTCGACAAAAACTTATCAGAATATTAATCGCACGTAATTTTTCGAATGTGATCTTTCTGTGTAATCCAGAATGGCCGACATTTTGCTCTTCCAAGGGTGGATGCCTAAGGTGTCAATAGTTTGTCTGAGAAAATCTTGGGATTAGGTTCTGTTCTGGCATTTCTGAATGTTAACGGTAGTGCCATGTTCCTGGAGTCATTCGAAAACAATGTCCAGATGCTGGAGATGAGGCTCTCTGTTCGGACTTGCAATCAGTCAGTCAACTACATATGTGTGTAACGAGGTGATACCTCGTGAGCTGTTGTCGATGAATCTCTGGAAAGTTTGTGCAGCACTTCTTATACCGAAAGGAATGAGCGAAAATTCGTGGAATCACGGTGGGGGAATGATTGCGGCATGTCACAAGCAGCCGCGGGAATCTAGTCATACGCTTTAACCAGATCGATTTTCAAAACAACCGTTGTACCCTCTATAGTAGCTGCTAGAACGCGAATATGATGCAACAGGTAACGATCAGCAAAGGCTTTTGCATACAGTCTTCAATAGTAAGCAGCTACACGCTGTTCACTGCTAGCCCTTATAAGAACCACGTTCAAAATCGATCGCCATGGGCTGCTTGATGGTCGAATACCTCCTAAATCAATCATATGATCGGATTTATTTTGCGCCAGCCTTAGGTTTTCAGGAGCTAGTCGGCACACTTTAGAAATACGGATGGTCTTGTGGTTGCGATGTGATGTGCTACATTGATAGTTACACACGAAAATTTTGATAGCGCTTCATGCAGTTCGGAGTATTTGTTGATTACCCTCTGATATTATGGATCGATTATGTACTTAGAAGAGACTAGGGACAATCTAAAACCGGTAAAGGAAGTCACAAAAATAGAATAATTGGTGTTTCCATCTACTGACCGTTTACGCGTGTCCATGAGTAGATTGTGATGTTTTAGCAGATCCATACAAGCGACTGGTATATAAACACCTGCAACAACGAAGACCGAGTGAATGGGTTTGTGCAAAACCACGTTTAGATAAACATATCACTTACTATGTTTGACAATCGGTTGTCTGTTTGTCGCCTGTAAGTTGAAAATTGGTTCGTGCACTTGTAGTGTAGTGCTTCGTTAATCGATCGTCTTGATAACCGTTATTATAACAATCTGAACGGTGTATAATATCAGAAGACAAAGGGAAGCAGCAACTACATTTTTATTGATAAATAACATGGGCTAGAAGGCAGTGAGCACATTAGCAAATGTAAGCAAGCGAAGGAAAGATGGCGCAGAGTGGAGATGGCTGGGAAGCCAACTCGTTATAAGCAAGCATTAATCAACATTTATAGTCAGGCTAAAATAAATGACAGACATGTGATAGGTAGGATAAGAAGTGTGCATACACATACGCTCATATAAAAAAATAGTCAAGGTCAATAAGCGAATAATTAACAAGATCAAAACATGACTCATAACGTTATAGGTGAATTGGCTTGTCCAGAAACTAGAATAAGCTATGTAGGTGTAATATAGTACACGACGTTACACTACTCCCCACACACTCTATGATTAGAATTTTCTGGTAGTGTCGGCGAGATTGCGAGCTTTCGTCTGTTGTATAGCAGATGACTATGTTCTCTGGCTACATTTGCTGTTGACGCGTGCCAGTGAGGAATTTTCGTGTCAATTGGTTTGGAGTTTAGAAAACTGCAGGGTTTTGTTCAATTTCTAGAGCACTTACCATATTTATTGTGGTACCAGCACCAATGAGGATCATTTGTCTCTCGTGATCTAAAGGCAGATCACTCTCATGAACTCTTCCTAGGAGTTTGTGAGAGTCTAAGATTATGATGAATATCAAGGTAACGAGTGAGAGTTTGGCAGAAATCCATTATGTCGTTTTGTGTTGTTTGAGGCTTTTGTTTGACAGAATATACCTCGACGTTGGAGCTTCTGGTTATCTCCAGAGTCTGGACTGCAGATGTAGCTAGTTAAACTGCGACATTATATTGAGATGAGACAAGAACCGTCTACACCTGCTGGGGAAACCTGGACAAGAAGAGCTGCCTGAACAACCCCTTATCAAAGATCAGTTGACTAACGACCTCTCGCATATCTAGTGGCATTTCTGCTGCTGAGCATTGTTACAACCTCATGTTGTGGAAAACCGGTCTAAATTTTGTCGGTCGGTTAGGTCTCCATGTCTAGCGATGGCCTTAAATAAAGCTTCGCAAGGTTCTGAAACATCACTAGTAAACGTGCTAGCTGTAAATTACCTGTTGAAATTGTGCAGTAGTGTTTTTCACCACTGCGAAGAATTGTGCACGTGGGGCCGGAGGGAGGACTCCTTCGTCACTAGATTTTGCAGTTTTGGAAACTCCTATACTACCATAATTTTTTGAGACTGAGATTACTATTATTCATAGGAGAAGTCAGCTTCCTTTTTCTTACCGTGATTTTACCCTGGATATGGATTCATTATTGCATAGTCTAGTCCCAATAATGCATACAATAAAACACAAGGGAATATAGTTCGTTGTAACGAAAGCTTGTGAAATCATTCACATCCTTTTTATTATATTCGAGGGAGCAACTTTATGATTAAGGAAACCGTTCCTCCCATGTGATTTGTAACGCAATTACCGCGGTGTTTGTTTTTTACGCGTGGTCACCTGGCGTTCCCTCTAAGTCAGAGCATTTTATCCACCCTTGCAAAATTTCAAGGTAAGGGTTTGCTGAATGTTCATCATTTTTCTGTCAAAAATCAGGATAAGGCATAATATATTTACTTGAAAAGTATTTTTGAATCTGTTAAATTTACTTACATTCTTAAGTATGTAAGTAAGCATAGCAAGCTTGCTATGTTATGTTGATGTGATTATGGCAACTTCCAACTAGACTCTGACATGTAAGTAACCTGGAATAATTTCGGACTTATGACTTTAAAATATAACGGGTAGACATATGATGCGGACCAAATCAATTAAAGTGAATTTATACTATTCTGCCTTAATTTTTGTTCCAGCTTTGTTCAAGATTTCAAATCTAGTGGCACTGGGTATAGATAGCCATCAACTTGTTCTTTTAAGCCTTTGCCGTTCTAACTCTGAGTAGTCACACAGATCCTCTTACCGTATATTTCGTAAGTTCCGCATCCATCGTAGTCCTCAAGTGCTTACTAGTTTACTTGCACTGAACTGTCTAGATTTTGCAAATGTTAAATTCACGTGTTTGAGTCACATTATACTCATTATTTGCGATCGGACTTTGAATTTTTTAAATCGGAATTCACAACTGACTGCCGTTTTAAGAATTGAAGTGGATAAGATATGATAGAATAAATGTATTCTAGCATTTAGCGAATAGTGCACCGATTCCTAAACACAGCAACCCATCAAATTATCATCCTAGTTTTAGTATTGTTTGTAGAGGTACATCTTTCTGTCAGGTGTTAGTTTCTAATCACACATTTGAGTACGCGATAAGTTGTGGATATATATGCATAACACTAATAGTTTCATAGGCATTTAGTTTGTTTGATAGCTGCGGCAATTAAGGTATTAATGTGATGCACTTGACAAGTTAGGTTGCCCAAATGATATCATTTTAATAAGTAATAATTTAATAAGTATTTTTATTAAGAAAAGTTGAGTTAACCTAGCGGCCCCCAGTTGATATATTTATTATAGTCTTTAGGACCTAACATGTCCATTGAGTCTACAAAGCTGCGACTCCAAATTCTTTTTTTCAATTTGTTTCGTCACCAGCTCAGTTTATACAACCGTTCAATTAGTATAGCCTAGCACTTATTTTACCGTTCACTTGATGTACGCTTTTCCAGTTATATGCATTATTTCAGTGATTTCATTCCTTCTTCGCAGTAACTGACAATTAACAGCTTTTTAGTGACGGTGGTAAATCACCTTTCGCACTACGCCTAGGTAAAATGCACATAGTATACGTACTAGTTCTCACCGGACTTTTGATTGTTCGAGAAAGCGGGGTGTGAATTATTACATTATACATTAATACATTAATTACTTAATCCATCTAGTCGGTCATTTTAATGCACATTTTACCTGTACAAGCTGTGCATTGGCAGCAGAAGCACCACGAAAAGCAGAGCTGCAATCATGGCCGATACCACAGTCACCGTGGCAGCGTATATATTTAGACTTCGCTGGTCCATTCCATGGACAAATCTACCTTCTGGTAGTGGACGCATACAGCAAGTGGCCGGAAATTTTCATCATGGAACATCCAACAGCAAGCTGCACAGTTAGAAAACTGCGGCAACTATTCAGTCGTTTCGGGGTTCCAGAACAAATAGTCAGCGACAACGACACGCAGTTTATGTCATCTATCTTTTCAGAATGTTGTCAGCAGAACGGAATCAGGCACATCCGAACACCTCCATTCCATCCGCAATCGAATGGCCAGGTAGAACGTCTTGTTGGAACGTTCAAAAATGCTCTAAAAAATCAGGAGGGGAGGGGGATACCGGAGAGATCTTGGAGAGGTTCTTATTTATCTACCGTTCTACACCGAACCCTCAAACAACAAATGGGGTCTCTTCAGCGGAAGCGTTACTTGGCAGATAAATAAGGACACATTTCGATGTCATCCGTCCGACGCCAGCTCGTGAGCCCCAACGATGGAGAAGCAGTTCAATCGACACCATGGGGCACAAAGACGATTGTTCACGGTGGGTCAAAAAGTACTTGCAATGGACTACCGTGGTAAACATCCTACGTAGACAGCTGGTCGGATCGTGAGAAAGAAAGGGAAAGTAGTTTATGAGGTTTCAGTTGGCTCAGATGTTTGGATACGTCATGCTAACCAACTGAAAGCAACTTCGATAGCCAGCAGCGAGAATCGACATCGAATACCTCTTGACGTTCTGCTAGACACCTTTGAAATCGAAACGCCCGTAACAGACATGTCAGTTTCTGTGCAAGCAAAGAGTGATACAACTCCCTTATTGCCTAGACGATGGACAGATCGAAAGCACAGGCTCTATCACCAGATCCTACGAATCTGCTCAAAGGGGAGGTGTTAGCTGGAAATAAACCGGATTAAGTTATGTGCATGACCGTGATAGTGCGCGCTGATTGGCTAATTCTAAACCAATCAGCCCTGGCAAATTATTGGAGAAAAATCTAGAAGCTTCTTATGTATGTACTATAGATATATGAACGTTATTCAAACTAGTGATTGCTGTTCACTTACCATTATTATTTTGAATACAATTTCGTTCCTGTTCAAGGTGTTCTGATTTTGGGGTCTTGTCGAGTGTCATTGCATAAGAATACTAAGCAATAGGAGTAGCTGGGTCGTTTATTAGCAAATAGAATTATAGCAGACATTGTCCCAAATACGGCAGTGTTTTGGCTACCAAATAATTTACTTTTTTGAATAGTAATACCTTCATTTTCAAATGAACTTAATTAAGGAACTTCCTATAACTTGTTACGGTTCATGACTAACGAGTGATTCGGAGCTCGTCCCCTACTATATTATTTATTGTTTTACTTATACTAGTGGTATTTGTTTGAGAACTAAAAATAACACCAATGCCCTGGTACGGCCGAGGTTTGGGAGCGGCCGCCCTCTCTCGAAATGCTCTTACACGGCCACGCGTATACAGTCTCTGCCAGGGAAGTCCTACTTGCTGCCTTCTCGTGGCGGGGGTATTGTTTAAGAAATTGAGAAGACGAAAAGCAAATTTCCAATGCTTCAACCGGGCGGGTGGACACGGCGAATTTACCTAGGGTAGTTGGGAAACCCTGATTCCAAACCATTGGTGCACATGGTCTCCAGTATCCGGAGGGAACAAATAACGTTCGAACCAATTGTTGGTCACCGGCTACCATAGGACTGCATCTCTTCACGATGCTCCACTGCCTTGTGGGTTAGACCTTTGGGTCGAAGGCTCCGGGTGTGGCTCTCTAAGAAAACCACCTGCTTCGGTCTGGGCACCCGGACAGTATCACAGCCCACACACAAATAAAATGAAATGACGTTATCTTCTGAAAATACTATTCACGCTCCGATTAAAAGTCAGACAATTCACATCATTACTATTATTATTAACCATGTCATTTATTCACTCTTATTCCCAATTTGTCCATCCTTACTTTTCAACTAACGCAGCAGCTCGCCCATGGTGGAAACTGTTCTATCTAAACGATCTCTAGTCACTGTCTGGTAGGAAGTGAATGCTTCCACCGAATACGTATACTAAACCAGTCTTTCTGAAACCACACCCACCATTCAAACTGGCTTCCTTCAACGTTCGCACACTGATGCAGATCGGACAACAGATAGGGCTGGCTATGTCTTTAGAAAGTCTTAATGTTGACGTTTGTTGTCTACCCGAGACCCGTATTGAAGACTAGTGAAGTACCATAAATTCGCTCTCCATCTTTCTCTTCAAAAGGCTTGTTTTACGTGCGTTTATCCGGGGACCCTGTTGCATCTTCGTCTGGTCTTGCTGGCATTGGTATCGCACTAAGCGCTAGAACTGAGGCAGCACTAGTCGATTGGATCCCCATTAACGGTCAGTCATGTGCTGTTAGATTAGAAAGCTCTATCAAATTAAGAAGAAATCGGCGTGAAAAACGATGTCTTTTTGTCATATCCGCCTATGCCTCGATAGATGGCAGCCCGGATGCAATCAAGGATGAATTCTACCACCAGTTGACTATTCTCCAGAAAATGCGTTCGGCAGATTATAGTACTACCCGGAGACTTGAATGCACAGGTTGGGCGTCTAGGCACAAAAAGAGTCGTTTAGTTGGCCAGTGGGGACAAATGAGATAACTGTGACCGTCTACTACAACTTTGCGCAGACCACAACTTCCCGCACGGTCATCGCTGATGTGCTACATGGTGTCTTCTCTGCATCTCGAGCCTGGACTCAGACTGATCACATGGCGATCAGCTGCCACTGACGTGGTTGTGTACAAGACTGCCTCTCCTTTTGGAGTACCTACCTATCTGGACTCTGATTGTTTGAGCTAATTTAACCTTGTGTTTCAGTCGTCAATATATTCGTCGTCCTAAACAGATCGATGTCCACAAACTGGTTTCAGCTTCTGTCGCAACTAAATATCAAACCGAGCTAAGTTCAAGGCTAGCAACCATCCCACCAAAAAGTATAGATGAGCATTGGTTGCAATCGCATGGCTGCATAAAAATGGTGAGTAAAGTCGCTTGCGGTTTCTCAAAACGTCCCTCTTATAAGCACTGAGTTTCTGCAGGATTCTTACAACGCATTGAAGCACGTCGGTCTACTCCGGGTGACTGCGAGTTTGACCACAAACAAAGGCTGTTACGCAATGAAATTGGGCAAAGCTTGCTTGAGGATTGATGAGCCTGGTGGTCGGATTGTGCTAATGAACTGGAAGCAGTAGGTGCATCTGGTAACTGCCTGAAGCTCTTTCAACTTATCCGATTCACTGGCAGCAAGAAGTCCGGTGTGAATGAGACAGTCTGTGAGGATGACGGGATGCCAATCACTAACACCTATCGATGTCTTGGACGATGGGCAGAATTCTTTGAAGGGCAGTTCAACTGGCCTGCTGCTCCGGCAACATCGGTCAGATTGTCTTTCCCTCCATGGCCGGTGACGACTGATCCAACAAATGAGGCGAAAGTCCGCAAAGAACTCCAATTCTTGAAACGCTACGAATCACCAGGCTCAAGTGACTTATCTCCGGTTCTTTTTAAAGACGGCGGTGACTTCCTGGTTATGGAACTGACTGAGCTGTTTACAAAGGTCTGATAATTAGAGAGTGTTCAGGCATCATGGAATGAGTCGATAGTTGTCCCTATCTTTGGAAAGGTTCACGGCGTTCCTGTAACAACCATCATTGTTTTATGTGGCACGTTTATATCTGGTGTCCCTTTGTACCAATATTTATGTTTAAATAAATAAGAGTATACCAGGTTGTTACTAGGTTAACATATGAATTTTACGATAAATAATGTGATTACTAAAACTAAGTGAATCAGTCGGACAGTCATATACAACGTAAAGCCTGACATGTGCATCGATTAAATTTTCATATTTGTTTATTGATTTAAACAAATTGTTACAAAGTGGCACCAAGATATATGCCACACAATGACGTTATCATTCAATGTGTGTGGAGTGGGGTACTGTCCGGGTGTCGAAACTGAAACAGGTGGTTTTCTCAGGGAGCCACTCGGAACTTCGAATTCGAGATCTAATTCACAATAAAGTGGAGCAAAATTAGTGTGTGTGGTCCCATAGGAGCATGTGGCCGACATTAGGTTCATACACTATCCGCTCCCTCAGGATCCTGGAGCCCATGCGCACCATTGATTTGAAACCAAGGTTTTCCAACTCCATTAGGTGGGTGCAACATGCCCACAAACCCGGTTAAAGCACTGAGTATTTTTTTCTCAGCCTCTTAATTTCGTAAGTAACACCACCGCCACAAGGTAGTGAGTAGGACTTCCCCAGCAGTGGCTGTATATGCGTGGCCATATAGGAGTATTTTGAGAGGGGGAAGGGACTTCCCACACAGGGAATTCGAGGAAAGTTGACATGCAGCATTGGGATTGCGAGATAAATCTATCCAGAAATTCCAGAGTAGTAGGAGTAACAGTATCAGTGGTAATAAAAAGGAGTAAATGAAGAAAAACGGCATAGGGGTATTTCGGGATTCAAGAAGTAGGGGAGATAAAGGGAAGTGTATTGTTTGATGCTTAGTGGGGATAAAAAAGTGAATAATTTTGAGTGATCATTTGATCACGAGGTATTTCGCCAGTGAATAATAACACCACAAACAATCTTTTCAGTTGGCTTATTTGATTCATGAACTTTTTGTGAATTCATAAAACAATCTTTTGTCCTAGTTAGCTTTTAACTTTTCCCAACTTTGTCCTACCATAGTTGGCATTATAGATGTAACTGTAACTGTATACATAACTGCTGTAAAGGCTTTCTCGTTTACCATACCTCACTTTTGCCTGATCATTTACATATTTCTCAACCCCTTTGGTCAACAGAAATTCATTATTTCAATTGGTTTTTCATAACCTAAATTTGCATATGATCATAGCTTTTCTGACTAGCGTTCAGTCAATATGGGAAGTGTTTCGAAGTTATATGTACCCGAAAACTCAATATATGCATATCTTCAACTTTCAGCTGTTATGTTTTTGTTACTGTTTTATTACCTAATAGATTATGTTAGTTGGTACATCATTCTAGTTTTTGATTTTCTGTTTTGCAAACAATTTTTTTCTACTCATTTTAGATGTCATTAACAGACCAGCTAAGAGCTTTAGCAGTCCCGATTACATCCAGCTATGTAGTTGACAATGTTCACCGCAAGTCTTTGATTTATGAAGATGCTTCGAAAATCGACACTCAGTCTTGTTATTCAAGCTGTAGGTTTATTTTCTGCATGTTATTTTCTTCAAATAGGTTTAAAGTCGTTTGAAAAACTGTGTGAGATGGAAAACGCTTTTACCTCATTTGGCAGTACATTGTTTTCTGTGACGTCGTGTCAACTGGAAATGTGCAATCTCTTTCGTCAAGAAAAAGTAAAACTTGACAGCGAAATCTCCAAATTCCTGTGTTACATTTCTTCTTTCCTTAAGCATTTTGTTGCTGTACAAGCTTTAGAATGGCTAGTATTCAAGTAGGTTTATGACCATCTGTATTCACGGTTTAGGTTTCAGATTCATATACATTATGTTGAAGATTTTATTCGCTGCATCATTCCATATCATGAAACTGGTCTGTTCGTCAAGTTTATTCAAATTCTAAATTTCCAGCAGTTACCTTCTTCCTTCCAGTGGTTAAAACCATATGCTGTATGTTAGTTGATTTTTCTTGTTTTTCTTTCTTCATACTATATTTTCGTAAATTACTATGATGTCCTAATAAACCTTATTTTATCTTTACCAGAAGAAAATTGAAGTGTTCTGCGAGTCACTAAGATGTCCATAAAATATTGGTTTCTTAGTTGATAATTGTTTCTATTTCTATTTCTCTTTTTGTTATTGCTATTTTAATTGCAACATTCCAATCTCACCCATCTGCTTTAAGTTGTTTTATGTTAGGGTGAATATTATAATTGATGTTTGGAATACATGTGGTCCAATTTTAGCGATTAGGTTGACTAATATTTTGGCTAAAATCTGGGAGTTAGACCTAATCTTATCTGACTGGTCACAATCACCGATTGTTCCAATATATAAGAAGGGGTCAAAATCACCCTGTGATAACCATAGAGGGATTAGTCTGACTAACATAGTATCTAAAATACTAGCCTCAATAATTATCGGGCGCCTAACTAAGACTCGTGAACTGCAAACACGAGATCAGGCTAGCTTCAGACCTGGTCGTGACTGCATCGACCACATATTTACTATTAGTCAGGTTTTGGTGTATAGACATGCTTATCGGTGTCCGAAAACAGTAGTTTTTCTTGACTTAAAAGCAACATTTGACTCTATAAACCGAGAAGTTCCGTGGCAGTGTCTGTCATTGGAAGGTGTACCTCAGAAGTACATAAACCTTGTGAAGGCTCTTTTTGCTCGAACACTACTAGTTGAGCGAACTGTCATCTGATTTTACAACCTTAAGCGGTGTCCGACAAGACTGTCAACTATCCCCCTTTTTGTTTAACTTCATCAGTTCTATAGTAGAGGCGTGTAGTCAACTAACGTGTGAGATTTAGTAAGAATTATCTTTATAATTAAAATCTTCAACCTTATTCACTTCACATATATTGATTTGAGCAACCATTCAACACATTTGAACCTCATACAATCTTTAATATTTTATATCTTGAGAATAGAATTATTTTTGTTTTTCTGGTCACAAGTACGTAGTAAATCATTTTTTCAACTATTTAATCACTTGCTTAAATCTGATTTCACTTACCAAGAGATCGTTAATGTAGTCGTAATATAAACCGTTTTAAATTTAGCTTAGATCACAGCTTTATTTCAATGGAATCACTACTAGTTGACTGAGCACACACTAGTTTGTAATTTGATTATTTGCCACATATCTGTTTATATTGGTTTCATGTCAAACATACGCTTAATTTTTCAGGAAAGTGGTAAAGCCATATCACGGAAGGAATTCGCTCGTCTATGCATCCGAGAACATACCCTTATTCCATTTATATGTACAGCTATCCTCAGTTATATGGAAGTAAGTGATAAATTAAGGTATTTTTATTTATTGATCAGGAGACTTCTGATGTCATAGTTTGTCCTATTTCTCGTGTTAAAAACTTTCATACCATACTAATTTTTAGCACACATTTGAGTTTCTTCTCTCTGTTTTATAGACTGTCGTTTCTTTGTTTTTGTGTAAGAAACTTGTTGAATTACTTCGTGCTGAGAATTGTATATAGTACCAAAATATAATATTGAATAAAGTCATTAATAATAATACATCCAGTGGGAACCGTTTTCATGTAGTCCATTTTTAATTATTAACAGTTCGTATGTACTAATCATACAACACTTCGCTTCAATGGAATTACGAATAAAATGTAGTAAGTAGCGAGTTTATTGTTGCCAGTACGTAAACTACGGGGTCTGGTATTGTTATGTTTAAAGCGATTACGAGTTCCCTAATCTGAGAACGGGACAAAAACTCTGTGACCAGAGACCAATAAGCTAGCTATTCTGACGCGTCAGAGCCCCGCTAACTAGAGTGAGAAGTCCAAGTACCGAAGTGGGAAAATACATTCCGCAAACAGTCCGAAGCACAAGCAATCACAACAGGAACAAATCAAACGTATATATACAGCATAAAATTGTTCTTGGGAAGCGTTACAAAATAGCATAATAAAAGATACAACGAACCAATAGCGTTTAAGATCCTTCCAAGTGGGAAAATTCGACATGAGGGTGAAAATGAGCGCTTTTAGCGCAAAAACAAGAAATTCAAAATTTTAAAATGAAATTACAAAAATAAGGCATTTACCAAGTAAGTTCTGGGGATCTAACATCCCTGACAGATATACACTCAAAAAATACAATGATAGACTTGACAAATGTTACCTTAATTGGGAAAATTCATTTAGTTCAGATGGCCAGTGTTGTACAAGAAATTGCATGTTAAACAATTTACTGGTCTAAACATTCACTTAATATTCTCAATGTTAATTAATTTCAGTTATAATGAAAAAAAATAATATTGAGTACTGAGTTTCAGAAAATTATATATATATATATATATATATATATATATATATATATATATATATATAACGCTTTACTTAATGTTTCGATCACGTGTTAACATATTATTGTTTATTTATCTTTAGTGTTGTCGCAATTTGATGCCAACAAGACTTAACGATATGACCAATTTTTTTTTGGGAATCGTAACCGCGTTGTGTGATTCTGGTGTGCCTGAGAAAAAACTTCTCAAGATATTAGATTGTTTTCAGGATGTTATAAAACAAGGATTAAAATCTACGAATATAGCTCCTTTTCAATGCGCCACATTTTTGGTCGTAATACGTTTCAGTTTGAAGTTGATAATTAATCAAGAACTAGTTCTCGATTGGATATCTATTATTTTAAAGAAAACTCGACCTTCTTGTGAGTGGGAATCAATACGTATTGTAATCCAACTAATGAGAAATCAGCGTATTCCTTTGTTACCTCCAAAACTTACTGAGCGTCAGAATGTTTTATTTTCCAAACTATCTCCTGAAGAACAACGTATAATTGAAGAAGAACAGTCGGCGCTAGTCAATGAGTACAATGATCCTAATAAGTTAGCAGCGGAGTGTATGCAGAAGTTTGATTATGTTCAAAAAGCTACACAGGTTTGATAAGCAAATTTATAAATCTAATGTCATCATTAGCTTTATCATTCAAAGTTTATCGAAATTTAAACAATTTTTATATCTTAGACTAATTGATTAGATTAACAATATTGAGTTGGAACATTCGATTAATTCACTATCGGTTTATGATCAACCTTCCTTAAATGAAATCTCTCTCGAATAGTTTCATCAAAGTTATCCATTATTGCTCTTTAGATAATTTTAAATTAACTTTTATGTCGTTGATCATATTGATAATTTCAATGAAAAGAATATTCTACTTTCTTTATAGCTTATTCTTTGTAATTTCTAAGTGCTAATGAATAAGTCTGATGTACATTACAAGTGAAGTCGGTTATCATTCTTCAATTGTTTATTCCTATCATTAAAAGTTTTCAAAATCAGTTAATCTAGTTTTAGAGAACATATCACTACACTGCCTAAATTTGTTGTTATTGAATATACAATGCTTATGTTGTACACTATATGATTTAATAATGTAGGTTTTTCATTTTATATCTTTTTAGTTTGTTGATGTTGATATCAAAAGCCTTGAGTCAAAAACAAAGGAACAAAAACCTGCCGACGATATTTTATTAACAGAAGAGCTCAAGTTGAAAATCGATGAAATTCACGCATTTTTGTCAAGTATCCCTAACGTAGGCTGCTGTGTAATGAATTGCACTTCATCTTGTCCTAGCGGACCTTTACCAAATTCTGAGTGTTGGTTATCTGATTTGTTACTTGAAATATTTTCCGATGAATGTTTTGGTAATAATAATTCTGATCAACATAAAGTACATTATTCAAAAGTAGAAATACGGCATTATATTCGGTTACTAAGATTGGTTAAATCTTCCATAAATATTCACATAGATTCTGGTAAATATGCTCAAGGGGTGGTAGTTGCATCAGGTACACCGAAGCCAAAATGTTCCCGTAAATCAATGTCGTCTTCATATGGTTTGTTACAGAAAGGCATTGACAAAGGTCAGTTTTCCCGTCCTACTAAATAATATATATGTATATAATATATAATCATATTACTATATTTATCTAGATAAAAATTAGATCATTGTTATTCAAAGAACAAATTCTTGTATTTATTGTGAAACTTCACTGACAAACCTGGTTACTAAGTCCTCGATCACAAAGTAGACTACCTCAAATATTCTCGTCCTTTAATTGCACTAGATGTCTAATTATTTTCTTAGAGACCTATTTAAGCTTAAAGCATCTTACTTGTAATACGTATATAATCGACTTATACTTATTATTTACTCCAATACTCTTTATTAACATAAACGTTTTACTTTACCATCTACATTTTGGCTGTATAATACACGTACTACTTTTTATTTATTGGGTAGTATTTGTTTGTTCTGTTTATTTTAATCACTCTCGTTGATTTTGGATATAGTAGTTAGTGTAACAACATCTTTGCTTTGTAGTTTTACCACTCTTGGTTGCTTGCTTGTCACACCCTGCTGCTATTATTCGTGTAGAGGCGTACGATATCTTACACTTTTGGCTCAAGAATGATTTATCAAAAGATCTGGAACGCAAACCGAATTTTTCTACCTTTTGCTCCAATTCCGACTTGACTTCAGATTTTGCAGCGCATATAGATGAGTTGTTTCCGGAGGAAATAAGAGAGTTGCTCCTAGGCGATCCACTCTACTCATTAAACAAAGTAGCTTCTCTCTTGATCAAGGCTGTTGTTCGCCTGTTATTCAGGTTAGTGTCTTCTTTTCAGGATATATTTATTACATCAACGTTATATTTCAACTGAAAATTACCGCTGTAAAATCCAGTAATTTAGTTCATTTGTAGGAATTCTTCAATTTTTAACATCCTAGGGGAACAAAAACCAAATGTCACAACCAAGAAGTCGGTAAATGTGTTAGGTCATCACCTGCTAATATTTGGGATTAATCGATTCCTCTTACAATCTGGAGTTCTAATTGCCATTCTATATATATATATATATATATATATATATATATATATATATATATATATATGTCTAATTATTCTATCTTGATATCTGAGATAGCTTTGTCGGGGTTTTAAATGGTTATCGATTAGTTATGGTAACCTAATAACCATATCGAAGATAAGGTTGTAGAATATATAAATACGATCAAAAATGAGGAATTCAAAAACTTGGAATCTAGAAGACAGCGAATGCACGTGCTCCATTGCAAACAATTTTGTGCCATGTCATTCAAAGTTTAACCACTAGTTACGTTTATCACTCGGACCCCAACGAGTTAGTCTACACCCTGTCAACATGACTAAGTCCAACTATCAATGACTTCACGGGCTTGTGCCACTTTTTGCTTTAGCCATCCGTGCACCAAATAACATCGCCTATCGAGGTAGTCGACCCACCATCCGATGTCTGATATCGCAGGAGTTAAGTCAATAAGCTTGATTCAGATTACAGCTAACTTTTAAGAGTCTCCTTAGTAATGTCTTATATTAAAATCCCACATATCATGATATCTTGTTTAGTTTACTTCTTTTCCTTTATTGATTTTCAGTCAAACATTAAACCTAAGTACCTTGGAGGCTTGCTCAGAAAGTAAATTTTCCATACTTTGCTGGAAGGTCGGCCTACGTTTACTAAATGAGGATACCGTCGGTGATATTCTTTTTATTCCGAGTAGTCCAACTGAAGAATTTGTCAGAGGCTGGTCTGGGTTTCTAAATTTGATACATTGCTCCAATGTTCATTTCATCGATTTACATCATATATGTTTATCACGTCTTAATCCAGCATTATTTGCATCTTTAGAACGTTCTACCCTTTCAATGAATTCTAATAAAGAGAAAGCATCAATTTTGCGGAAATCAACTGGTTGTTTGCAAACTCTCAATAGAAATGTGTCAAACACGGATCTTTATGAAGGACCCCAATTTAGTATTCTTGATGCTTTATATAAGCTTGGTCATAGTAATGGGCAGTCTGATTTCGATTCCGTTCATAAAGTATTTTCTCGTGTAAGTTTCACCTTCAACATTTCGGTGTTAAGAGGGAATTATGTTGGAAAAAGCATTTCGGAAATTGAGAATAACTATTTTGTCGGTTTTCTGTTCGAATGCCTCAATTATGAACTTAGCTTTATTGGAATACTGTAGTTTTATTTCTGGGGAAAATAACAAAGAAACAATGTGCTGTTCAAGATCTAAATTCTTGCTAGTTTAAAATATATTTTCAAAGTTGTCTGACTTTTGTTGCACTCTCTAGTGAAAGTTGTATGTATGAAAAAAATCATACATATTGATAATAAAGACTTACTGTGTCCATCTGCAATCGTTTATTACTGACATTGGCTATAGCCCAACGTGTAAGCCTTCTGCACTGTCACCGGTTGTTGGTTCACAATTCTTGTACCCTTTAACAGAACATATAACATAGTTAATAAAGCGCTGAAAATCCTATTTGACTCGTCTTATTGTTTCCGATTACATCTAAGTTAATGTAGGTAAATTATGAGGAAAATAACACCATATACGAGTGTCATGATGTTTACAGCCTCTTGGCAAATCCTAATCATTTTGGCTTTAATAATTTAGGTATGAATTATGAACGACCATTACTGAAGCAAATTAGGAGCTAATCAATAGTCTGTATTTCTTGTTTGCAATACTATCATTATGGTATATATGGTGGGTAAGAATTGATCGTAATGGTCAACTATTATTTCGTCTTTGAGTGAATTACCTACCAAACTGATATCCTTCAATCACTTAATGAATCTAAGCATATTTATTTTCGTGTTAATATTTTGTGTGTAGGGATGTTGTTTGATTAGATCAAAGATCTATTCTTCTGTCGAACGAACTTGTTTTTGAGCTCAGTTTATCCGATAGTTTAGGTCAATAGTTCAGTAATTATGAATGGTTGTTACTCGATCACATCGTGTCATCTCATTTTATCTTTTGGTTGTGATTCTGTTTATCAATTTTAACAATCCGAATCACGTTCATTCATTCATGAAATCAGAAACCCTATAACAAATCACCTACTAAATGTCAGTCACATCTCATGTGAAACATGTAGTAAGACATGTAATAAATTCAGTAGCCTATAACTAGCAGACGTCTGTAACACGCAACCCTTGTTATATAATAACTTATATATTATAAACTAATGACGCACTTTGCATATTCATAAGTTCGATGTTCATTTTTGGTAAACTTTATTAATTGATGTCATACTTTATTTCAGCTTCATCTAAATGCAGTCCATTTCGATTATATGTTCATAAAAGCAGATCCGTCAAGAACAGTTGGTGGTGACAACAGGTCATTATTTGCTCGAGTTGCTGAAGCCCGGTAATTATTCATTTTGTTTTGGTACTGTGCTTTGGTTTGTTTATTTATTAGAGTAATTTAGTTAACCGTGTTCATTCATACAAAACTGTATGGGGGTTATTGAATATTATGAAATTGTTTAAACTTTAGTATTTGGGTTTGTTTACACTTATTACTTTATGTTGCTGTTCCACAATTCAAAGTACCTATCACAAATTATCTTTAAATTGCTGTCAGAAGAGTAATCATTCATTTCTGAGTAAGTTATGCGTAACACCAACTTTTGACTGGTCAATTCAGCCATGCTTTCTGTATGTTAGATTTTTTGTATCAGCCATATGTGGTGTTTATTATCCGATTTGGTCTTAAACTATGTTGATGATGTTAGTGTCGTCATTGTATGTTTCCAAACCTTTGATACTTAATTAAGATTATATTTTGTAAATATTGTTACTTTGTTCATTTTTTTTACTTAGCTCTCTGCTTAGTGATGATCATGTTTACAAGTTGCAAATCTTTTTGAAATATGTTTCTTTTTTTAATGTAGAGAATCTCGTCGACGTAGTTTACGAATACGGAAAACCAGGGAGACTGATTTGGAATTATTAAATGATGATAAAAAGGTCTATTCAGAAAGAATTCGCCTACGATTTCTTAGTATGTTATTGTCTATTTTAACTGAAGCTGTGCCACGGTTACAATCATATGAAATTGCATCTACGGTTCAGAATAAATCAAAATCTGTTGATTTGAATACATCACTAACAGCTGTAGATACAAAATCACCCAATATTGTCGTAAAGAAAATTAAAGATCTTAATTTGCCGATGAATGATTTGATCACTCCATTAGTTAATCATCTTACAAGGTGAGTAGCGTATAGGATTCGATATTGTCATATTATTATGATGTGAGATATTTAATTTCACTTTTAAACTTATTATTAAATTGCATCGCAATACTAGATGGGTGTTATAATTTTTGGTTTTATGATTCAGACAGAAACAACTTAAAACTTCGAACGTACGTACATCAGTTCGAGTTGTCACACCACGTTAGCACAGAGATACGATTGACTATTCAAATTCCATAGTGGCAGACGTAATAAAAGTATAAGCAGTAATCCGAAAGATTAGGGTTTGAGGATGTTATCTAAGGAGCATAATGCAGCGAAATAAATTTGGAAAGAGAAAAAAGATAGAAAAATAAAGAATTTAGAAAATTAAAATTTGGCAGAACACAAAGAGTGGATGCACCTTCTTTATTGAAAACAATTTTGAGCCATGTCATTCAAGGTCTCTAATCATCGGTTGTTATCGTCTCACGGATCCCAACCAGGTAGTCTACACCTACCAACATGGCTCAGTCCAATTGTCAGTGACTTCTTGTATTTGTGCCATGTTTTGGTTTGGCCGCCCCTAGCTTTCTTCCAACCTACTCCTACACCATGAAGCATTGCACGTTGGGGCAGTCGGTGGTTGGAAATACGTAACACGTATCCCAGCCATCTCAACTGATGAAGTTTAAATCGATTTGCCATCCTTACCTAGTACTCGTCTCCTAACAACTGCATTAATTACTCGGTGGTCCCAGAATATACGAGCAATGCTTCGAAAACACCTATTATCGAATACTAGTTGCCTACGAATATCGTCCATGTTTCACTGCCATAAAGTAGGACGGAGCGAACTGCTGCATAGTAAACCCGTCCTTTGTTTGGTAGACGGATATCTCGCCTACTCCATAAATGACGCAAGTTGGCGAAAGCTAGACGAGCCTTCTGTATCCGTGCTGAGATTTCGTCAAGCATCAGACCACAAGGGCTGATGAGACTCCCAAGATAAGTGAAGCGGTCAACACACTCAATTACTTCACTCCCTATCATTAGTTCAGGTGCCAATGCAACCCAATCCTGAAGTAACATTTTGCACTGCAAGGAGGAGAATCGCATCTCAATCATGCCTGCATAGTTGCTTATAGTGGTCAGAAGACTGCATTTTGTCAGAGTCTTCACCGAATAAAACTATGTCGTCGACGTATTCTAAGTCAACAAGTGAGCCTCCCGGTAAAAGTTCTACTCCTGGAGGTTTAGCCGATGGAAGCGTTAACTCTAAAAGTATGTCAATGACAAAGTTAAACAAGAATGGGGAGAGTGGACAGCCCTGACGAACACCACTTGAGGTAATCAATTCTGATGACAGTTTGCCATAAGCTCTCACTCGACCAGTTGTGTTCGAGTAGAGAGCCTTTATAAGGTTAATTTACTTTTTTGGTACTCCTTTCAGTGACAAACACTGCCATAGAACCTCACGATCAACGGAGTCAAATACCGCTTTAAGGTCAAGAAATACTACTATTGTGGGACGTCTGAATGTATGTCTATGTTCTAGGACCTGACGTAGAGTGAATATCTGGTCTATGCAACCACGTCCAGGTCGAAAACCAGCCTGATTTTCTCTAGTCTGCTCTTCACTAGCTTTGGTTAGACGTCGAAGTATTATTAAAGCTAATATTTTAGACACTATATTAGTTAAACTGATCCCACTGTGATTGTCACAAGAGGACTTTTGTCCTTTCTTATAGACTGGCACAATCATTGATTGGGACCAGTCAGATGGGATTACGCCCAGTTCCCAGATTCTACCTAAAAACTCAGTCAATCTTACTGCTAGTACTGGACCACCATCCTTAAAAATCTCAGGAGTAAACCTGTCAGGGCATGCGGCTCTCCCTCGTTTCAGATTTCCTATAGCTTTTTCAACCTCGTAGAGATTTGGAGGACTTACCTCAATTTGCCATTCAGGACGACTGGGGATCGTGGGTAACTGAAGTGTGGCTGAAGGCCAGTTGAACTGATCCCTAGAGTGTTCTGCCCATCGATTCAATCTCCAGGACTGAGAATGAATAGTATGTCCATTTTTTTCCGAGATAGTTTTGCTGACAGCTGGGTTCTTAATGCCGGTTTCTTCAACAAGTCTGAACAGTTGTCTGCTGTTACCTATTGCCACTGCCTTTTCCATCTGTCTTGCTTTCACTACTCATCACTTTTTGCGATCATTGCGTAGGCTTCTTATTAGCCTGCGCTTAAGCTGACTCCGCTCTTCGTTATGTTCAGAGCCAGGTGGGATGAGTTTTCGAGCCTCTATCAGTGTGGTAGATGCTGCTGTGATCCATTGTTTCTCCCTAACCTTATTGTTTACCTTACTAGCAGATATCACTGTTGTTTCCACAGCTTTTCGGATGTCATTCCACGCTGCCTCTGGGTGCACACAACTTGCATGGCTGCGTAACTGTTTTTCTAGTTGTTCCTGGAATGAGCGACAGTCTTCTATCGAGCCTCTCCATCGGTGGCTGATAGCGATGTGATCTAGTTGGGACGAATTTGGGGTTCGCCATGTCAAAAGATGTTTTTCCTTGTGCCTAAAGTTAGTTTTTGCTAAAAACAGGCGGTTATCTGATAATAGCTGCAACATATGGTCGCCGTTATTTGTTCTTCGATCCACGACACCGTAAAATCCACCCAGGTATCTTTCCCCTTTGCTTAGTTTACCTACTTGAGCTGCAGTTAGCGGGAGAGTAGGCAGTTAACCAAAAGTCTTTTTTATAAACAAGGGTATAACTCAAACACTAATAATGCAAAATTCATATCCGTTGAATAGGTTATCGGTATATTTAAACTTAGTGGTTCAGTAGGTATCGCATTGTTTCAGGCGAAAAGTAATGAGTAGTAGTGTGGACATCAACTCTAGGGTACAGGTACCTCCGTCTGGCGAATCCCAAATAAACTGAAACGCTCTTCCTGGATTTTGTTACTAGCCATTAACTGACCAACTTTGCTAAAAATATTTGTGACCAAATTAAATGTAGAAATGACGCGCACATGATCCACATATATCTACAAAGACTGGTCACAATGCAGTCCGTAATATCAACAAGATAACCTAAACTCTTATTGCCATTGTATGCTCATTGTCTAAAATCGTTTACCTTTGTTGAAGAATGTGCTCACTACTTAGTTATTTCCTGTACTTAAAGCAAAGGTTAGTCATTATAATATTCTTTATAGGTGATCGTCGTAAAAGTAATCAAAGCATTTATTTTAGCTAGATGACACTACACTTATCATCATTTTGGGAATAATCTCTGTTGAGAATGACAGAATACGTTTATGAATTCTCTTTGTTTTACCATGAATGCTATCTTGATATTCCATATATTCGTAGCATCTTAAACATGGAGCAAAATTTGAAACAAATAGAAGCAAATACAAATCAAGCAAATGTTCTAGAGTTTGATACAGATAGTGATCTGGAATCATTACCTGGTGATTTGTCTGATATCCATATGGATCAAGAGGCAGCAGATATTTCGATTGTTAATGAAGACTCGTGTATTCGACCACTGTTGCGTCAGTGCATTTATAAACTTCTGATTTGCATCACAACTATATTTGCTGAAGGAAATCGTGTTAAGCGACCTCATAGAAAACGTTCTTATCGGAAAACACCAACGGACCAGACAGGTCTACTTTATGGTTTAACATCTGCACAAGTTGCTGTGGATCCAATTTTCCTCTGCCTCACTGTCTACCCTGACTGGATGTCCTTGCATCAACAGGTTCTACTATGTTTTATTGAACTGTCTGTCATGTTTCCCGTAAGTTTGTGTTGCACTTATAATTGGTAGTTTGTGTCATAATAGTATTTGTTAATCAACTTCTTATCGTTAACAGTGAGTACCTGTTAGACTAAACAATAGAATTTTAACTCACAATGTTCTTTACCATTACTATTAGGCTAGTGGTTTCTGTTGCAGGTTTTTAAAATTAAGTTGTGTTCATAGATGTTTTTCAATGGACTCAATAACCCTTAACTTAACTGAATTTGTTTTCTAGAATTAGTGAGAACCGTAGAAAGATATTTCATCAACGAGTTAATCAGATGTATCAATTAAATAGAAATTACGTCTGTTTTTGTCGACTTTTCTCGTAAAATAGATTTATGGTGTTTACACCTATCTATAGTTATATTTAAACATATTTTAAAGCAATAATATATTTTAGTGACTCAGGTTTTTTATTAACAAGCTCATCTTATAAAATATAAAAAATATATAATTTACATTTCAAGCAATTAACTGACCAACAATATCCGATAAAATATTCTCTCGAATTAAAACTGGTTTTTAGCATCGAAGTATAGTTAAATTATTTTCATTTAATCTTTACTTTCCTAACGGTTATTTTTTATGCCTATTTTTTTTAGAGTGCATTATGTCACCATTTAGTGTCTTTGGTGCAATGGGTTGCGTGCAATCGTCAACTTATGCGTTTGGATAATGCTCATAACCTTAGTATTTTGGGACGTCTGATATTAGTAACTGTTCCGGCACTTATTCGAGCGTCTTCTGAGCAAATTTCTGCTGGTCTTTATGTGCTTTATCTCTTTATTATCAGATTTGCTGAGTTCTCCACTAATTTGGCTCGGCGTCGTTTAGCACTTTACGCGGTCCTAATACGTGGTTTGTCTCAAGTAACTGGACCATTCATAACAGACAGTGAAGTAAATCAGTCTTTTACACAAAAACAAATTACGGATGAAATAAAACCAACCAAAAAAGTTGAGGGGGCTGCACGTGGAAATGAGTGTAAAATCTCTTTACGACCTAAAGAAAGTTGGATTGGAAGTTGGTTATGGGTTACGTCACTTGTATTCTTGAACAAAAATTGGCAAATACAATCAGTTGGTAGGTTCTGAGTAATTTTTTGGTTTCTATTTTCTGCTAATTTAATTTAGTCCCAATTTCCCAGAAATATCATCCTTAATAAATTGTGATTATTGACAATAGTCGTGGATGCGCACTGTTGACGAGCCCTACAATAGAAGGAAACGGCCATCCAATGCTTCCAGGTTTTCCATGGCGTTATAGCTTCAATCGACTCATGATCTCAACTATTAAAATCACTGTAATATCCACAAAAACCCCTTCTGATAGAAATGTAAATGTAAAGTATTTCTCAAGGTAGTATTAATTAGTAGTATCATTTCTGAGTGATCTGATATTATGGGATGTATAATCTCTATTTCTTAATTATCGTTTTTAGCTGATGAAGTTGGGCCTTTTCTTATCGAGTTGTTCTGTCATTTCGGGTGGGATCATCAAGTGCTTGGACTCTGTGAATGCATAGATTTTCTGAAATATTTGTGTACGAATTCTTGTGATTATAAGCTTCCTCAAGTAAGTCTTACAAAGTTCTTATACGTAAGGTTTCGTTTACGTGTATTTAAAATATCTCTGTTTTGCTTACCATGATGAAGAACACTGTAGAGATGTGAAATCTGTTGAGAGAACACCTAGGATTTGCTGTGTGTGATGCAGTTCTCTCTGAAATTTGGTTTCATATCTTAATGTAATGATTGTTCTACTTTCGTTGTTGGATCATTTTTCTAACACGACCACTCACGTTATCTTTATTAAAAACTTAAATGACTTATAGGTTTTGCGACTTGTAAACTTTATGGAGAAAATAAAATTAGGGTCTAATCACATATATACTTGTTAAGAACATTATCATATAAAAGTAAAAGGTCAACTAGACTGGAAATGGGGGGTAAGAGGAGACAAGGGTAATAATAATAGTAATAATAATCATAAAAAGAATGTGATCAGATTGTTCAAAATGTCTTGCGCTAATATATCACATAGTTCTGATAATCTTCATCTTCTTATTACACTATCAAAATTTATCAAAGGGACTAATTGCTTTAAAATTAGCGTCGTTAGAATCCTCCCTGTGTAATTTTGTTTCCTCAATGTTTTTTTGTTTCTTAATATTTCGGGAGCAATCATTTTTATGATGTATTCCAATGCGTGAGTACAAGCTATTGCTAGTATATATTTCCAATGGACTAAGGGTTAGTTGTTATTTTTTGTAGTGAGACCGTATGAATCTTAATGACATGCCATAATAGTTACGGTCTGTATGCTACACGAAGAGTGACTCACTTTATTTAAGAATAAGAAGTGAGAGGCCATAAACTGTGACACTGATGAATATACAGCCGTTTACATTAGCCATGGATGATTTTATCGCATAAGGAGTTTTGGGTGCTTTATTGATTGGGTTGATTTATTGTCTAAAAAGAAGGTTAGATTTCTCATTTTACAGTTGTTTTATTTCAATTATTGTGCTTTCTCTCTGAATTTTTACTGTCCTCGTTTTGTAGATTGACGTATCAGAGAACAGTGGTAGTGTTTACATTGAAATTGGTCATTCGCAAAAGCGACTAAAATTGAGTTCGTCATGTGCGAATCTCAGCAAATCACCAACCAACAACTTAACAATTAGTTCTACCGAATCTCTGCCAAACGACATTAATGTGAGCACACCGACTTCTTTCATCCAACTCGCGTCTTTTATTTTCAATTCAGATAACGCAATTCAAAAAAGCGAACAAGTCCAAACATCTTTGAACAATTCTGCCGTTGTAACGTTGAATGAAATATGGTCTTTAGTCAATCGAACTATACAGTTTATTGTAGCATTGATAAGAAATCCTGATTACTGTGATAAAGTTCAAACAGCTTTCAGCGATCCATCAGGTTTAAGTGCTGTTTATGGTCGGTTAGTGGAACATATTGTTCAGTTAATGCTCGTTGTAGCTACTTTCTTGACGAAAGTAAAGAAATCCGACGAAAAAATGACAGACGTAGTCTCCTGTGCTGATGAAACATTGTCCGGTTTGCAATCAATTTTAGTACAGGTTAGTATTATGTCTATTTCACTGTCATTAGATAATACATTTATAATTTGCAAAGAAGCTTTACCATAATTGAATAGTGCCAAGCATCTATGTTGGTTTCTGCTTCTTGGTTTGCTAAGTTTTTAACGCGACAGCGTTTGAAGAGAACGGTACTAGATTCGAGTCCCAGAGTAAAGTTCAACTCTGGGATACAGGTGCATCCAGCTGCCTTGTCCCAAATAGGACAAAGCGATGCGCCTGCTGGATTCCACTTATAGCCACCATCCATCTCTGTTGATTAGTATTGAGTTTAAAATAAAATCGACATCTTTTATACTGCAGTATTTTAACGTTTTATGGCATATTTCTAATGGGTTTCATATTAAGTTAATATTAAATTGCTATGTCCCGATAGCAATAGTGAATGGTAACTTTGGGATCCATTTATGGACCAATATTATGCATATATTTTTTTATCGTATAATCGCTAAATAACTAAACTATTCGTATTCATGTTCGCCTTATTATGAGCTTTATTTGAACTATCAACTATTGTTATATGATTTACCATTCCTGAATCATGCCTTGTTTATTATTTACTATCCCCCCCATTCACAGCCACATTTAGCTAGGTGTTGTACACATGTTATTTTCTATTTTATGGTACGATGTGGTCAGTTTGATTGGTATATAAACTCAGTATGTTTGAAATATAATGATTCATACAGCAGAGGCTGTTTTGGACTTAACTGGCTGAGCTAGGCAGATAGCAGGACCGACAAGTACTCTAGACTGCTCGTACGGTTTTCGTGTATCACTGTTCCAATCGATAACTTGCTGCTCTCTGATTGGCGGTCTTGTCACGTCATACATCAACAGGGAATCCACTCGGCCACAGGTTATAACATAAATAAATAATCATTGATAATCTGTAGGTACCAGGAAATGTAATTCATTATATTGTGCTATACTGCTTGTCGGTATGCATTTTGAAGTGTATAACATTGATTCCTTATTCTTAGTTTTGAGGGCGTCAACCCTTAAACTAATTGTCTTATTTCTGTTAACTCATTTTTCTAACTGTAATTAATGCTTTGTACAGTAAAATATTCACTGATACTTATGCTGCTGAAACACATAGCTCTTACTTGACTTCTGAAATTCTATGTTATAAACATGACTCAGTCAGTCACTCACAACGTAGAACTTCGTATGTACGTGCATCAGTTCGAATCGCCATACCACAGTAGCACAGAGATGCAGTTGTCGATTCGAATTCCGTAGTGGTAGAAGTAGTAAGAATATAAACAGTAATCGGAAAGATTAGGGTTTAAAGATGTTATTAATTCACGGGGAATTCACGTCCGTATACTGTTGAGTGAGATTGATGTAGGGATTACATCGCCATCCGGAACTTACTCTCATGAATACATCCAATATCAACTTTTTTGTTAATAAATTTGGAATAGTTTGATGAAAATAAATTCAAAGTCTTCAAAACTTGTGAATGGAATCTCGAATCGTGTTTATTTCGACACAAGTAAACTGAAGCTTCAATATATGGGATATTTAACAATTAGTGCTATGTATGAACCATTCTTTTAATTTGAACTTTATCGTGACACAGTAATAGTTATCTTGAAACAAATTATGGCTTCATTCAAGTATGTGTGATATGAATAAATATTTGGATGTTTCACTTACTATTAATTAATTTCTCAAAATTATATTGTTTTTTGTACTTCCTGATGTATTCTTTATTTTGATAAATAAATACCGAAAACCAAGTAATCAGCAAACTTTCATAACATTTAGACAGGTTGACTTATACGATGCGGTGTATTCTTTTGTTGGGGAATTTTATTTAGATAAAAAAAGCTGAATAAATAGCAATTTTGATCAGACTTGTAATTAGTAGCATCCAATTAACAGTATGGAGGATATTAAGTTACATAAAACTTGTCCCACTTCTTCATAAGAGCCGGTTTTTGTTAGTAACACCGCTGATTTATGTAATCCCACCTTGTGTACATTTTTATTTAGAAAATTTTTTACATATTGGTCTAAAGTTTATTTTATTCTATTTTTATTCTGCAACAGTTATGTCTTTCATTGTCTTTATGAATAACATAGGATGATAATTTCTCTATTAATTTTATTTTTATTTTTGTAAATAGATTTTGGACTCAGTCCCTGGTCGAGTATTCATCTCCATGATCTTGGATTTATTCTCATGTGAAAACCGTGGGCTTCGTCGTAAAGCTCTCGACTTATTATCTGCTAAATTAACAAGTTTAACTGCAAATGTTCAACCAGTTCCAATTTTAATTGATTTTACTAAAATGAATTACAAATCCTTCCTCAAGTCGCATAAACATTTAGTTAGCCGAAATTTTGTTGATCTGAATCGTACTATGGAGGCTGGTTTAGTTCAGTTCACTGGGAAGCTAATTTCATTCTATAATTTGAAAAGTGGCAAGATGGATGGTTCCCTGAGGACAAAACATACTACCGTTTTGGGTTCAGGATTTTCACGTCAGTGTCTAGCTTGTTTGAGGAGTTTAACCAAATTACTGGCCTACCGTTATCCAGGGGAATTCATGAGGGTAAATTTCCATGCGTATAACGTTCAACTATTTTGTGGAATGTTTAACGAAAAGTTCCTTAGTAAACATAATGACCCGTCAGTTAGGGCATAATCATCTAGCTGCTATATATGACACTGCGCTTTCCACCTGAGCTACAAATCTTCTCCACCATCTTAATATTTTTGTGTTACTGAAATCCGCGATTAGCAAGTATAATGTAGTCAGCCTAACCTATAATATTTGTAAACTAAATGTTTACCTACCAGTAATATATGATTATTTCTAATATGTAAGACTTATTCAATTTTCCAGCTGTTAAAGATTTGACTCGAATTTAGTCATTCGTCACACTTTGTGTTATGTATTGATTATCTTTAAAATTTTTTATGTAATTTGGGTTCAGTTTTCCTAAACCTGACGTTTCACAGGCTTATGATATACACCTGACAAATTGTATACATTTTTTCAGATTTAGACACTTGTTTCATTTTCAAAGAATCTTAACTAAAACTCAGTTTTAATAGTGTTTTCATACAGAGATTTTTCTGGTTTTATGTTGGATTTCTTTTCTTGTAGGCTTTGGACAGTTTAATGACAGTTCCTAGTAATTGGTGGATTACTGTTGATGTTACAGATGCTCATCAAGCTTCAGTTAACTCAACTGATGAACCACTTGTGGAAAGCAATTCGCATGGACATTATTTCGGGTCATCTCTTGCTGAGTCAAGATCCTTAGCTTGTTTGTTTTTTGTTGAATGTTTACAACGTTTACCACCACAGTCTTTATATCCAGAAGCGAGCGCAACTACTTCCCGCCTTAGTTGGTTACTTTCTTTCGCATTAGACCATGGTTATACTTGTACCTCTTTTGCTTCTTCACCAAAGTTGTCCTTAAAACAATGTTCTTTGAACTCACCGTGCAAATCAGATCGTTACATGAAATTGGTGACTGGTACTATGCACTCAAGAGATCAGCACTTATTAGTAAGTGTTTATCTAAACATGATGAATGTGTTTTCAATTGTTTTGAATTTTTTGAACCTTTTACATAATCAATAAGGAAAGCATACAATAGTCAAAGTTCTGGGGACTGAATTGCTTACTGAGTTGTTTAATTCAGAGAATGAATGCAGTTTCGTTACAATTAACTAGAAAATCTTCAATCAGTCATATACCAAAAACATTTTTTCTTATTTATATATTAAAAATATTTAGATCAAGGAAGTTTAAATTGCAAAAGCGAAAAGAGAAGGGGTATGTATACATTAATAATATTTAGCTAACACTATATTGAAGCCAACTGTTGAATTATTGGCTTTTTAGTTGAAATGAAAGTGGGAACGGTTGATTCTGCATCCTTTGGTTGCATAACATCAATCTTAAATCTAATGACTGTCGCTTCTTTCACTGTAAAAATTCATAGTCTAAGCATTTTTTAGCAAGTTGTTTTTAACACTATTGAGATCGTGTGAATAATGTTCATTTTATGGTCTTTTGTTGACTAGGCTAGTTTAACACTGATCAGCAATCTACTTGAGTTAGCCATCATTCATCGGTTATGTCAACAGTCTAAAGGTGACTACTCTTCAGAAAATACTGAATCAGCTATTGGAAAGTGGTTAGAATTTGAGAGTACGACTAAGAAAAATACGAATAATTCCGCGTATCAAGAACCTGTTGCAGTAACACTACTAAGTCTTATGTTTCAGCTCCGCAAAGACAACCTGTCTACACTAACAGGTTGTAATCCGGAACGCTCTGGTCCTGTATTTCGTCAGATTTCAAACCTTATTGAACACATACAGTAAGTTACAAAGCATTTAGTGAATATGTCTTTGAAAGTATTGCGTATATATTATGTGCACAATGTTCACATTAATAAAAGGATATTTTGAGTTACATACTTTGAAGTCACCAAAATATTAACAATGTCAACTCTTGGTTAGATAATTTTATCGCCTAAACCTCATTACAATCGAAATTCTAAAGCCCAAGTTCACTTATTAATTAGCATTCAGTTCGTAACTACATCATCTCATAGTCATCTACACCATTTAAAGTGATATGACTAGATATATCCATAGCTTTATCTGCTCATGTTGTTTTTTCACTCAACCAAAGAAATAGTTCACGAAATGCCTCTTCCAAAGCTAGTGAGTTTCTTGATAGAATTCATTTACGTTCATGGTGTGTAACGTCAATAAGTTGTCTGTATCCTAAACAATGGCTGACATGTTACCTAACCATTAATTCTCATCTTACATCTATTTAGTGGAAAAAGAGTGACCTACAGAATTATTCACTTCATTTTCAGCAACTGAGCTTAAGATTCAAACTCGTCCAGTTTTCATATTTCAGTGCAGACAAATAGGTCGTCTCTTTAGCTCTGAAACCAAAAAGTGTGGCGTAAAACGCAATCCTTAAACATGTCGTTGGTGTTATGGATTATGTGGTAAAGGAGTTGCATTAAAAAAAATTATCATACGTTTATGTCCTAGAGTCTCGGCGATAACTCACTAAACACATTTTGGTTTTCAAAATCTTCACAAGATTATCTAGTGTAACTAAAAGATTTAACAAAACTGTTGTTTTGCTGGAGTAAGGTATATTTAATCCGACCATTTATTTGTTGCTAAAATCAACGTTCTTTTTTCATCGAGTCTGTTGTGGTTTTCACTTTTGTTTTAGTAGTGTTTCAGACTCATTAGGTTAGTATTATCAAATACCGATTTAAATGAGCCTATTATATATTCTGATTCTGTTAGTATCTTCTGTTATTGGATGTGGTTACTTGAACTAAGATCTCTCTGTGCTACATAAAGTAAGTATTATCTTGTCTTCTGTTCGGGTTTTATTGTTACGGAACTCAATTTTCATAACCAAAATGTCCATCGTTACAGTTAGCCGCTTAATTTTGTATAATTTGGCTGAAAATAAGCTCTGAAAATTTCATTTCTTAGAAATGTTTAACGTTAACCCGCCTATTTATGTTCATATTCATAGTAAACTTCTCCGTCACATAACAGAAGTCAGTTATCTACTCACATCAATTCAGATTGTAATTGAAAAAGCCTCTAAAACGAATAGTAACGTAAGTTTTCATGTTTTATTTAATTGTTTTCAATGTTAATAAAAAAGTATATTTTCATTCATTAACTACCTCCAATAGTGTCATTTGATTTAGTTCTCAAAATATAACACAATATTTTGCTGCCAGCTATAAATCTGAAATTTTCATTGTTTTTAAAAAATGATGTTCATGTAAATAACCTTCTACTGGTATAATAATGTCAATGCTGTGACAATTCATAATATATACAACACGACAACACTATTCGGTTTTATGCATAAAGTTATGAACAATGTTTCAGTTGCGCTGAAAGAAATAACTATATGAACACTTAGTATTTTTGTTTATTTGATCTAGTTATACAGAGTAACTTCCGTGATTATATAGTTTGAGTTTCCTATTTTGTTTTAGTCAACGCAAAAAGTAATAAGAAAAAAATCCTTTAAAATATCTGGTTTCATTTACTACTGTACTCTTTTTTCTAAATTGGATTTTTCATGTTTGATAAGATAATTAATCCATTTTTTATGTATGTTTACTTAGTTTGATTTGAAGTTATTTGTTTTCATGTTCAATACCTGATTGATTTATTTTAGTTTGGATTGACAATATCTATAGCCTGGATGAATTAATCGTACCTTAAAGCCTAATAAATTATTATTTGAAATAGTAGAAAAGCTTCGCGACTCAGACAGATGGTTTTTGGCTATGTTGTGTTTGTTGAGGTACATGGTTTCCCTGCTGATCTTTCATTGTCGTTCTAGACAACATCATCGCCTACTTCAAATATAAGTGATCTTTTTAGTTATGCCGCAAACATTGTATCATTTAGTTTTGTTGTCCTCATTTGTAATTGGTAGTCCGTGTAGCTTCTGTCATCCTCATTTGCTCTTGCATTTATGTTGGTTGTCTTTTTCGATTGACCTCTGACGATGTGATTTATTGACCTTCTTCATGATATAATACTTACAGAATAACTAGAAAGACTACTTCCATGTAAACTAGGCGTCGATTGTTTTGTCCTGAACGACAATGCAAGCTTGAGAGGGAAACTATGTCGCTCAGAGATCACAACATCAAATTAGTGTTCATCTTTAATCGATTTCTACGTATGTTCTTTTAAAACATGCATTTTGTTGATTCCTAATCAGTTATTTTTCAAATAAACTTATTTACCTCCATATCTTTTTATAGACTTTATTACATGGTGCTTTGTCTTTCTTGTCTGATTTTGGCGAGTCCATGGCACCCATTGAAGAAAACGGTGTTATTGCTTCTAAAGATGAAAATCAGTTACACTCTTTCGCAACAATGCATGCAACTCATCCCGACCTGACATGGCGTTTGATCTATACTTGTTTGTGTACAGTTGTGAATAGACTGAATGAAGTTGATTTCCGAAATATTACAGAATTAAAAAATAATGATATGCTTTTATGTCTTTACCGTTCTGTTGCTAGTTTAATTAGTTCATTACCAGATGATAATACTCGCCTTAAAATTTGTCAACAGTTGTTTACATGGGTTAATGTTCAAAATAATGAAGAAGAATCAGGTGATCAAATCAAAGATATCACTGATCAGATGTTATTACGTTTATCAGTTGTATTCAGGATAATAGAAAGGTTAGTTTATTCGGGATAGACAGCACTTTCGTAGAACACTGTTTAGTATTAAGCTATTTTTATTTATAAATTAACTTAGTGTTTTAATATTTTGTTTCAATAATCGATAGGTAATTTATTCGACTTTCAGTTGCTACTTCATAGATCTGAATCCCACTCCACATACTTCAGGGTAATATCACTACTAGCTTTCATACGTAAAATATGTCCTGAAGCAGAGAAGAAACAAGTTTTCACCTCTAAAATGAATTATTAGTAATTCAGGAAATAAAGTTGAAAGGAACCTAAATCCAATAGCTGTCTAATGTTTCTTTATTATTTATTCGTCAAGATTTTGATTTTAGTATATGAGAATAAAGTTTCAGAATCATCCATTGAAGTGTAAAATTCACTAATTAATTCAATATTATCTTGTTGAACTTCTCATGTTATCCAATAATTTTGCTTTTAAAAAAAGATAAAGTCGAAAAACACTTTTGAAGAACACAATGTAGTTCGTGGTATTACACCAGTGTTATCTACTACTTTTATTTTGTAAATAATGTGAATGTTTGTGTGTGTGTGTGTAGTTAATTTTTTATGACTAATGTGTATCGTATAATGTTTCTCTTCTTTTTTTTTAAAATTGTAGAATCCCAGATTATCTAAACACAGAAGAATTTTCTGAGCTAAGCAAACAGATGTATTTAGTTGATTACATTGTTTTAATATTCATCATAGCTGTTGGTAAGAAATTTAAAGGTATGTTAGAAGTTTTGCTATTTTAATGAGTAGAACTTAAAGTTGATTATATTTAGATTTATTATTATTATTATTATTAGCTTTATTCAATATTATATAATTTGGTGCAAAATCGAATTCTCAGCTTAAAGTATTTCAACAAGCGTCCGTTTCTTATTTCTTCGTTGCTCCTGACGATAAATATTTAGCAATCGCCAGTTAGATGTCAGCAGTTCAATCAATCGACATATGGATAATGTATATTCTTTTCGCTGCATGTTCCCAGCAAACACGACATCTCTGATTAGGCCTTTTGTAACCTTTACAGCGAAAGGTTGTACAGTTTTCAGAAACGCACCTGAATAGGTTGTGTGATTAATAGCCATAGTGATGTATTAAAACAAATTATATTAGATAATTGTTGAAATATATAGATGACAGGAACAAGTAGCCCAGATGTTTAAGCAGGCCGCCCATATGACATGATTTAAGTAAAATATATGGTCAATTTTAATCATCTTACTTTAACACATGTCAATAACAAAAGAATTACTGCGTCCAAATCCCTATACATCTAATTTTTATCAGATATACTAATCTTCAAGGTTACTCAAAGGGATATAGTGATTAATTAAAATCATTTAACAACAATACAATGATTTATTCCGATTTATCACTTTCAATTTCACGTTTATTGGAATAATCAACTTGTATTGCTCTCAGAATTAGTCTTGTTTTCATCTACTGAATCACTTGTCGCGAACCCCCTATTATATACAGGACTGAATCCTTCAATTGTTAATCTTGCGTTCGTTTGATACTCTTTTAGTAAGTTGGACATAAAAATACTTGATTAACTATATATTATCTTTAGTACAGAGGTTTGTGGAGGTAGTTGAATTCCCACTTTACATCATGGATTGATTTTAGTTAAGGAACCATTGAAAGCCAAAAATCCCCAAATAATTGTTTCGTCTTATTGTGGGACTCCTCAGTAGTAGGGACGAACCCAATTCTTTCTATCTCTCGACAAGCGCTCAACCACTAGACCTCTAAGCCGGCATCCAATGGTGTTAATGGACTCTGCGTTGATTATTTTGTAGATTAGTAACACTTTTAATACATATTTGGTCACTTGATCAGTGATTCTATTTTTTGAAATATATTTGGCTCGTATTTTGTAAGTGAAACCAATAAAAATATTGACACACCCTCGATTATTCCAGTACTTATTTCGAATCAGTTGTGCCGTCATAACATTAAATGAATTTAATAACATTTAACAGTTTTCTATCCCGGTTGTGTCCTGTTATGCTGAATCACTTGATGCTATTTTTTCTTAGTTATCAATAATTTACTGACATTTCCTATTTTCTGTGTTGAATTGTATCTTTTATTTACATTTTGAATCATTAAAATTTTACTTCTGCAGGTGCTAAAAAACTGTCCAATCGGTTAGGTTTTGGCCGATCGCTTCAATGCTATTCTGATGGAACTACATCTTGTGTCTTAATTTGTATTCATGCTTCATTGTCATGTTTGCACAAATGGCTTATTGGAGAGGTAAAAAATGTTGGATGTCTCGATGCTGCCTCAATTGGAGAATCAGTACAATATATTCCTTCTGTTTTGATTGGATTACTCGATATATCCTGTCCATCTTCTCATGTACCCCCAATAAGTGAAATCGATATTCAAGATGTATTAGGCTCATATTTGAATGCAATATGCGGTGATGAAGCCTATCTTCGTCCACTTGGTTCTGCACTGACTGAACGTATTATGCACTCCACGTACTGGCGTACTAGGTTAGCTGCAATTCGACTGTTGAAGTTTGTCTTTAATCATTCAAATGATCATGAAATTGACAATGATGGGGATGTTACAATGGATTCAAAACTTTCTGGTCCTGTCAGTTGTATTGTATCAGATTCACTGTTAGCTCTATCAGAAGCGTTGGAAGATGACCGACCAGAAGTTGAAACTGAAGCCAATAAACTGTTTGCTGAATTAGAACAAATGGGTCTGACTGCTACAAAAACGTAAACTATGAATTTACCACAAGCTTTATCAGCTAATAAAGATAAAAGTTATTTTGAAATAAATCCTTTTGTACAGTCTTTCCTATGTGCTTTCTTACTCATGTGAACAAATATAATTTTGTGTGAAAGATATCATTTGTACATGGTCCCAGTTTATGTCTTGATCAATTATATTTTTTTGAAAAAAGTCTTTTTAGTTCAAAGTTTTCAGAATATTATATCAGATCGTCGCTTAGATATTTTCATCAATTTTTTATTTATCAGAAGGGGTTTTGGGGAGATTTAGTATTTTTCATAGTAGAAAGCATGAGTCAATTGAAGCTAGACCACCATGGAAAACCTGGAAACACTGGACGGCCGTTTCGTCCTATTATGGGACTCCTCAGCAGTGCGCATCCACGAACCCGCTCTCGCGAGCGAGACTCGAACCCAGGACCTACCAGTCTCAAGCCGAAGCCCTTAACTGATAGACCACTGAGCTGGCATCCAACGGTGTTAATGTCTAACTTCAACTGATCCACGAAGTTGAGCAACCATTCACCAATTGTCTTCAGTGAGTTCCTATCTCACAAAAGACGTGGTTTTGAACTCCACTGGTCACTGCTTCTCACTAGAGCTCCTAGATATACTTCTCGAAGTCACTAGTGAGCATATGACTATATTAATTATCAGAAGGGGTTTTGTGGAGATTTAGTATTTTTCATAGTAGAAAGCATGAGGAGTCCCGTAATAGGACGAAACGGCCGTCCAGTGTTTCCAGGTTTTCCATGGTGGTCTAGCTTCAATTGACTCATGATTTCTACTATGAAATTTTTTTTGTTTGTTGGTGAAATGTACGTTTTATCATCCAGCTCTAATAGTAATTAGTGATGGTGAATGGAGTCGTGATATGCTTGTGCTAACCAGTAATGTAAGTAAGAACTATCGAAAGGATGGTTATTTAAAACAGGTTGATGTAACGCTTGTTTAAATTAATACAGTTTCGAAAAAACAATCTATCATTCGTTTTTGAATCAACTTGTTTATAGATAGTTATTTCATTAAGGTTTACTGCTTGATTAAGTTAATTCCGTACATTGTTATATTATCGTCCAAGATGTTGCAACTATAGCCATTTGCTATTATTTGGACTATTACGTTTGTGAAAACCTCACTGAATCACTTAGCTAATTAATATGAACTACTAATGTTAACTTCAAGTGATTCAAAGAATAGGTTTTTAATTGTTGTTCAGAAAATCTAGTTCTTATGTATCTACACTATTTAGGTCACAAACATATAAATCTAAGTGTAACATAAAGAGTTTTTCCAGATTTGTGTATTTAAAATGATGAACAGTCCAATATTTTATGTGTTTGCTTATCAACGCAGTATATTTTAGAAACAACTTGATTTGTGTTTGGTGATGTTGCTAGAAAACAAGAATAAACATCTGGTTAATTCTCACTAGTTTTTCCGTAAAATTATTATTACCTAAGTTTAATCAATCTGTTTGAAGGATAAATTACTGTTCAGTTTTTCATAATACAAATTTCTAGATGGGATTATTTTCAAAGTGCTTGATTACGCTTTTTTCTCACTAAAATATGATACTAATTTTACTGTTAGAAACATCACAACTAGAAGTTTCTAGCACAACTTGATAAGGGATATTTTTGGAATGCATTGAATTATGTGTAACTTTAACGAGGTCTTGATGTGTACAATTTGTTTGTGTAATTAAATATCATGTTTAATAGCTGTTAACCGGAACGCACAGTTTTAAATATTTCTGTATGAATGGTATGTAGATTAGTTTAAAATAGGTATTTACATCTGAGACTACAAATAAACTAAGTCAACAACCTGCTAGAACATTAAAATTGATTTACTATCTTCAGTAATTTAACTACTAAGTATCGACCGTGTATTAAGATTTGATTCTTGAGCACAATATGAATCCTCTTTTTCAAGCACCCAAGCTTATTCACCAAAGAATAAATTGCAATTGTGAAAGTCATTTAGCAAGTTGGTAGTGATTGGATGGAACTAAGAAGATCGAATGAACAAAGAAAATCATTTCCTGTGCTTGAAATGTACAGTTTTCAGTGTATATTGTATGACAAACAAAAGTAGTGTGGCCAACACTAGGATGTGTAAAAAGGTTTACCATTTTTGCTGGATTGTAAAAATAAAATCCACCAAATTCTAAAGTTCAAACTGAATTTGGTTTAACTGAAGGTAATCTGAAATCACTTTGATTACAAAAAAATGTTCACAGGGAAGAACTTATTAACAGAAATACAAGAGATAAGTTTGTTTACTGACTTGTGATTACGGAACCTTTTTTCGTTGCTTTTTTAAATGAATCGGAAACTATTCTTATTTACATTCATACTGATTTATGGTTAAATGAATCTAATTACAACATAGACTTTCAATATTTGAGCAATCATCCTAAATTTTTCTATGTGAATACCCATTATTCGTTTAAAACTGTTCGGTAATATTCTTGGTTTGAACTTCTCCTAGCAACTCGGTTTAATTTTGCTGATGTGACAACTGGCATTAAACCATTGATCATTAACTGCAGACTATGGCTGTTATGGGATGTGTTCACACGAGGATTGACTAGTGTAGGTAGTGGGGTTTTATATTTTTCCGCTGTTTTAACACCTGTTACAATGTAAATATCAATAATTATATTTTTCATCTATAGTTAATCGAAATGAATAATCTTTGAAATCCGTTGAAATAAATATTTACTTCAAACTTATTGATCAGAGGGTGTAAATTAAAGATAGCGGGTTTATGTACTTATTATCAATAAGTATATGTAATCTAGTGATATATCTATTCATTTTTAATCTAAGTGATCCTTCATTATGGTAAAATACACTAACCTGTTAGAATTGTCATTGGTCTAAGTACATGGGGAGTTTGTGTTTATGTGTCAGATTCCAGATAGCGAACATGATCTGATGATTGCATCACGTGATTTGGATGCTGGACTCTTTTCGAATTTAGAGCATGCTCCACCTTGAATAAGAATAGTAACGGTGCTTGGAGTATTTCAAATATCGTTTATAGCCATAAATAATGTAATGCATCTGGTACATCGTTTAATCCTGTAAACTATATGTTTCCCTCGTTTCGTTTTTTGTAATAAATCCAAAATAATTTGTTGCAATTTGCTTGTATACGGTATTAAAGTTTTATCAAATAAAGTTATCGACTGACTTGCTTTTCTTTTTTCAATGTGATTTTTGATGAAATCTCTTAAAAAAATTCTACTCTTTAGGAAATTTTGTGTGTATTGACTTCCTTCAAAGTGATCTACATCTCAAGTAGTAATTTTAACATCTATATATCTGTGAATAAATTGCAACCGGAAAGCTTAATTTATTGATCAATATTATAATTATAGAGATTGTCTGTGTGATGTCAGTTTTCGTCAGAGACTAATACCAGCTAAAAAACCAGGAAGCTGGGATTAGCTTTTCCACCTTAACTTTAGTCTTCTCAGGAAATCCCCTACACTACCGCATACAAAATCGAACCAGACACTCAAGGGTTTGGCAGCAAACAAAATGTATATGTACCTATAAGTTGTGATAAAGGGATCTACATACCCAACTTCAATTAACTGACAATATTATGCAACTATCGAGATTAGTATGCTCAATTGTTTCCAACCATCATATTGAGCTTGAATAATGTATTTGAATTATAAAGGTGAAACTTACCTTCGGAGTCATTAGGCACCTTTTTACTAGAGGAATTATGACTATGCTGTCTTGAAGTATTCCGGGAATTACTTGTGGTAATATTATTACTATTGTTATTACAACTAGTCAAGTCTGTGAAGATGTATTTTGACTTTATTGCTGAATTAGATCGAATGCTTCTTGAAGGTAAAAAACCACAATTTTCATTCATTCGTAAAGATGAGTGAATCGGATTACATATACTTTCAAACGACGAATTTTTTACCGACTGATGACTTTTCACACCTGTAAAAGATGTATCATTACAATCTTGGTAAAATGCTTGACTATCAAGATTTGTTGGTAAATTTTGACCATTGGTTGGATTTATAATTGAAGGGTTTGAATGTATTCCTCCGTTATAAAAATTACCGGAATCTACACGGTGGGATTGTTGGGATTTTTGCTGATGTATCTTATGAAATTGATGGGATGGAAACGCTCCAAAAGTAGGATTATTAATAGATGGTTGAGCTGAATTAACACAGCGATTTCCATTCAGTCGTACAAAATAATTATTAAAACATTGATTCATTTGTGGAACAAGTGACGGTTTGTTTTTCTCAATTAGATTATCCCATACTACAGGAGTTTTTTTTGTATCAAGTATGATATCTGGTTTTTCCTGCAAAACAATTTACAGGACGAATAATTAAAATATTTTTTCAGGGTACTCTACTTATAAGTATCATAATGTTATAAGACATTTCTATGAAGATCGGTGGGCGCAATTTTTCATCGCAAGAATGTAGGTCTCCGATTTAAATGTATTGAATATAGAACTAACATCACTGGTTTTGTCTCAATAGTGATGGAAATACTACGTCATTCAGTACTGGAGAATTGTATCGGATACCACTTAAATAATAGCCATAAGCTCTTATTGTAATCTGTATGTTTACCATCGTTAATTTATTAAAATAAATTATTTTACAACTGTTTTGTTAAGAAGTCTTTGTATAGGTGTTTCACCGTTAATATCCGATTCTGCGGTGGATTTTCATAAGAAGGTGAAATTAACTGGAGAATCATTATTGACCAGTAACTACTTGAGAGCTAGTTTATTCCTAGTTTTGTGTTTCCCTGAGAATGCGATACATTTATGCCGCTGAACTGGAGTCCAGGAATTCATAATTTACAAGTTCAGTTAACTTTTGATTTTAACACTTATACTTCGGTATAATTTACAAGCTTTTGTTTAACTATTAACTTATTTGACTGAAGGTGAGTTACGAGACTACGATTATACAATTGTATTTTGTTTTTCAGTTTTCTATGTTTCTCTGTCTGGTCTGTCCGTGATGACATCTAACTTTAAATCGGATACTCTTTACACACCTCCTGACTTGATGATTATCTAATTCTTTTGGAATATAAATTGCAAGGATATTGTAGTACAAAAAAGGTAGGTTCTTTCCAGTTCAGAAACCCAGTAATAGAGACACACGATTACAATAATAATTAAAATACCTTGTTTAATAACGTTGAATTTCAAGAGATGCAAGGTGAAATTTAAAAATAACCGTCAAATAAATAGTATAACGATTCGAATTTCTTTCGAAAACTCAACATAAAGAAAATTATGTGCACAAAGAAAATGAACTCAAGTTTACTTTAGCAGTATTTCCATGTCCTTGATTCTTGATCCAGTACTTTTGTCTTCCTGATAATTGTGTACGATTTTTCCATGAAGCTGTTGGTTTTAAAACATTCAGTTCTTTTCCTTTCTTTTTATCTAGTATTTAAGAGGAAAATAAGCCATATGCATAATGATGTCCTTAGATAAGCTGTCAACATAGTATAAAAGTACGTGAATAGTTATGGGAGTTTAGAATATGAATACATATTATTCAAATAATAAACTCATAGATTTTTATTAATATGTATGAATGAATGCGGTATAAACGCACATCAACCATTAAGTGTTGTATCCGTAGTCACATAACTTGTATTCCACTTAAGCAGAATCTTTTTACCAAAAAACTTACAACATTTTATTATGCCTGAGAAAATATCAGTAAGAAACTGTAAAACATACAGAACCAATGATTTCATTATGTCACTTGAATCAAATCCGTAAACAGTTCATTTGATCAGTTAGTAATGAAATTAACTGACGGAAAATAATTAAATAAGGATACAAGATTTTTATCTGTAGGAAAATGTAAACTATCATAACATTGATTGTTCAAACCTCAGGCAGTTACACCGCGAGACAAAACTTAAATTCCATCAAGGTTATTTGAAAAAGATTTTATGAAAGTACATTCTACAATTGATAAAAAGGATTAAAAGTAAATTGATTAGTGTTGTTATGAAATAAATACGTTAAAATAGGGAGATATACCTGTTTCCTGTTGTGTTTGTCGATGTTCTATACAGTTTTGTTCTGTATTAGTATTATTATCCAAATATAATTCGTTAAATCCTTTTTTGTCTTTGATTTTTAAAGAATGTGAATGTTTGTTCTGTGCAAATAATTCATAAAGAATTGAAATTAAACCTATTTTATGCATTTGATCTTCTCGTCTTTTTAATTCATTTCTACGTTCAGTTTCTTCATCATCAAGTATAGGTTGTGGCAATTTAGTACTTATACAAACTTTGCTATTGTTTAATGTAGACTCAATTAATGCCTGATTATCAGAGTGGTTATCATCACTATCCTTTTCTTGTTTTCTTTCTGTAGGGACTTCTAAACATTTGTCAGGTTTCCTTTGTTCCTCTTGATTATTTTGTCTGTTATTAACATTAAAATCCACCTTATTTATAGGTATTAATTCATTAGAATTATTGACTATTTCATCATTGTTATCTGACTTCATTAATTGCTGAGATAATAATCCAGTGTTTATTTTAATTCTTAATCTTTTGGGAGCTGGACTTTCAGATTGACTTTGCTTATGTTTGTTTGCAATTAAATCTAATTTTTCTTGTTTAAGTCTTATTTCTTCTCTTAGTTGTCTATTGGATAAAAATACAAACAGTGTGAGGAATATAAGTCATTAAATGAGTGACTTACACTATTTAGCGGTAGGCAAAATATAAATATATTTGTTTCATTATTACTGATTCCGACCCGAGTGGACTAAGGTCTCCAACTATTGGCTACAATGACCGTGTGCTCCCTTACCAGGTTATGACTCAAATAATCGAGAAAAATGTGATCTGTATAATTATACTGTAATATAAGTATATTCGAAGACGTCTGGCAGTTTTTCACTAAGAAATGCTTCGAGATAGAAAGCAATGATCGCGAGATTAAAAATCATGCGAGAAATAAATTAAGAGACGTGTCGTATTGGATTCAGCTTTACCGTAAGGTTATAGTGTGAATTCGGAAATGCAATATATGTTAGGAATGCCTAAAAGATGAGATAGAAAGGGTGAGGGTAAGCATAGTTACGAAGATGGTTCATCACATGGAACTAAAGCAGTTAATACGACTATGAGTGGGTTGAGTTTATTGCATATCAAGTGAGAATAGAGAAGGCTGAATATGCTTCTTTTGATACATAATTCAGTTGATCTCTGTGACTACTATTATTGCATAATCATTTCACTTCGACAAAGTGTTTGAAACTTTATATCAACTAACTCTAAAGTGATGGTAGCTCTCATGAGTCAAATTTTAAAGTGTCAACTTCAGCAGCTAACTTTCATCGGTCCGAACTTTACGTATTTATATCAGAATTCGAATATTTTGAGCTATCCATCAATAGTCTCTGTGGCTATATGTACCTTGGGTCATTAATATTACTACAGAAATAATTCTTAAAAGTAACCGCATCTAGACAACATAGTTCATTTACCATTTGTCTAAATGTTCACAGAAATGATCAAATTAAGCCTAACATACATTCATAGAAGATATAAAAGTGAAAGGTTACAATGTCATATTTTTAGTAAAATCTTACCTTGCACATTCACTTCTTACTTTATAAGTAACTGTTTCCTGATAAAATGTTGCAGTTGGATTGAGAAATGATGAATATTTTTCCAGATCATTTGATGGATAAATCAGACGAAAATTACCCATATGGCTATTTTCATATTTTTCACTTAGTGCTTGATATTTTTCCACATCTCGTTCGAGTGAACATCTGTAGAAATGAAGAAATAATTTTAATTTATTTAAAACTGTTACAAATTAACTCAGAGTGGATGTTGATGGTAATGATAATGATTGAATATAAAATAAAGCTTTAGTCACAACAAGATTTGAACCAGCTTTGTTTTGATTCGTCATATATATGATTGAGATATAAGATATCAGTCATTTATTAAAATTCTAATATACACAAAATATTGAAGATTTTATTGGATCATTTACGTTTCACATGAATAGATACTCAATTATTCACTCCATTATATTAAACGAAATACTATTGTAATAACATGTAAGAAAAAATTTGAAAAACTGACTCTCGAATTTTTCAATGACTTAGTTTTCAAATGTTCACTTTAGATTATCAAAAACCCTTGATTAGATTTCAAAAAGTTATAAACTTTTCGATTTCTTGAAGATCTCTTTGAGGATTATACTGGTGTTTGGATATTATCAATATGAAATAGTTTTATTTATTTAATTATTTGAACACATAAATATTGGTACAAAGGGGCACCAGATATGTAGGCGCCACACAAAAAATTGTTATTTCATTAAATTGTGTGAGGGCTATGATACTGTCCGGGTGCTCAGACCGAAGCAGGTGGTTTTCTTAGAGAGCCACACCCGGAGCCTTCGACCCAAAGGTCTGATCCACAAGGCAGTGGAGCATCGTGAAGAGATGCAGTCCTATGGTAGCCGGTGACCAACAATTGGTTCGAACGTTATTTGTTCTCTCTGGATACTGGAGACCATGTGCACCAATGGTTTGGAATCAGGGTTTCCCAACTCCCCTAGGTGAACTCGCCGTGTCTACCAACCCGGTTAATGAGCCGGACATTTGCTTTTCATCCTCTCACTTTTAAAAAAAAACACTCCCGCCACGAGAGGCAGTAATAAATCTGCTATTTTTGATGCAGAGATTCTGTTTTTAAAAAAACTCAAATACTTATTACGTTTATTGTCTGAAGGACTTAAAACCTTGTCTTTTTGCTGAAATATCCTATGACATGATAATATACATGAATAAGTTTCAAATCTCACTAAGTCGACTGGAAAGTACCTACTCTTGCTTAGTGTTGAGGATTTGAATATCAGTACAGTAATTCACAGTCTTATAGCACAGAGTACTCATCATCACACATAATCGCAGCTTTGTTTACTAAGTCGAAATGACATAATACTTATCAATTTTAGGTACGGATATATATAATTCCCAAAATGGATACCAGTTTCTATTAAGTACTGTATCTGTGTAGCTAGGCATTATTGTAGAAAAAATTTCCTGTAAATCTTTGCTTTTGAGGTTTGTGTAACCTTTGTTGTATTGAAGAAATAAAATAATAAGTCAATTTATTATTTTAATCAACCATTCATAGACCAAGAAACAAGCATGAACACTATAGAACTTGACATAAATGTGTACTGGTCCAAGTTTTCAGACTAAAGAAAGTTTACGAGTGGAAGAGTGAAGTAAAGAAAGTTATGCCAACAATAACAGAAAAATAAAGATAGCAAAAGAATGTCAGTGGCAACAAATAAAACACGAAATTCTAAAGCATGCAATAATATCAGAAGGGTTTTTTGTGGAGATTTAGTATTTGCATAGTTGAAAGCATGAGTCAATTGGAGCTAGACCACCAAGGTCGTGGATGTGCACTACTGAGGAGTCCCAAATAGGACAAAACGGTCGTCCAATGCTTCCAACCATGTAATAATACTTTAATGAAGATCTAAAGGTCGATAAGGAATTATTGTATTTAAACCATTGTGGACGATTTGGAACTGGGTTAACCAGATTCTCCAAATATGGAATCTTATATTTTAGTGTATAAATCTAATGTTCAAGAACATTACAAATATTCATTCTTAAAGGCTACACTAAACTGTCTGTTTCAGTAGATTCTTCAAAATAAGACTGATGTTTTTAACTTTGTCCGTATTCATACTTTTGATAAAAAGTTTGTACTACATTAGAAAAGTAAAATTAAAACTACTCACTAGATAAATAAATAATGTATTTGTAATATCCTAATGGGCAGAAAAATTAGATTTTCTGACGTTTTTTGACTCGGTGTAAGCCACTTCTTCAGAGAATAAATAACCAAATCAAAATCAATCCGAGGTTAAATAATACGACCACCAAATCGATTTCAAAGATATCAAAATATCACAAAAAGCTTTGTCCAATTACAAAGAAAGGAGAGTAGCTGAAGTGTTCCATATAATGCTTAATCCTATTGCTTTCAATAGAAAAGTGGACTTTACCATACATCCTATTTGGACTATCTATCCTAGCCAACTAGTCTGATACTATTCACGATTCACACTATTATCTTACAAATTGAACTCTATCCTTTATCACTATAAAGGTCATAAATTTTTCATCCTTAACAGTGCACACATACACACACAGATTTACATACATATCGCTTATAAATCACCTTGACCGAAATGACATGACATTGATTTATTCAGACCTGTTTTTTGATTGATCACCTAATATTCGTGTTGTTCCGTGTACTATTTAAGCTTGGATTAATTTTGATTTGGTTATTTATTCTCTGAAGAAGTGGCTTACACCGAGTCAGGAAACGTTGGGAAATCTAATTTTTCTACTCATTGGGATATTACAAATATACCATTTATTTATAACAGTTCACTCAATGCTCAATTTATTCGAAATTATCAAGTCAAACCTTGGTAATGATACCTATTTACTAAATAGTATATAGTTACAATTTTAGAAAACTCTAATTAATTCTGCCAAACCATTTTGAACTTTTAAGTATTCGATCGAATTAGATAAACTAGTGTTTATTTTCGATCTGAATAATGAATATTTCATTAAATAATACTTGAGACGAAAAGTACAATTCTATTGTCATTATCTACTCTATACTTTAGAATAATGTATATTAGAGTTATATTTACAATTTCAATTATGCTTTCACAAATTTTATGTACGTTGTTAATAGAGTCTAAATACAGTAACCAAATAGAAAGGAACTTTGTCTAAAAGAAATAAGTTGCCTGAAGTCAAAGATAATATAACAGGATAAGATCAGAGCGATGTTATGAAACTCAGTATGTTGAAGATGAAGAGATCCAAGATTTTGACGACAGTTTTTGTCAGGGACTGAATTCAGATAGAAGTCTATTGGAAATCAGGTACGAAAAGTCTGAGTCCTATGCGACTCAAGAGTATGCACCCACAACATACTTATGTGACCGAGATGATATTTTTAGACGACGTGTCCGAATTTATTGGTTTACATTTTAAGCTTCAACAAATTTGTGATACGGTCAAATCTCTATGTATTGATATTATCGACCTATGTATCGCTCCCAACTTCATTATATATAGATTATAGATTGTTATATAAACTATTTCAAGTTTAGTATTATAAACTGTTTAAAGTATGTATATCTAGGGAGGATGGTGATTATATACAATTTAAACAAAATAGTTCTGTTGGTATACCTTCATTTCTATTCTGAAACATAGAATCAGTTAATGTCAGTCTGGGATTAAAGATTACTTTCAAAGTATCCAAAATTCTTTACACTACATCCAACTAAAAAAAATAATAGACTAGTAGATATTAGATTACTCATTTCATAACGTTTTCTAAGCAACATAGTTCCATGTCTTATATATATATATATATATATTCAACTATTAAATAGATATGATTCAAAACGGGTGATAACAATATATCAAGGTCATTGAAATGATTCGAAACGATTGACATAGACAAAGAACCGCTTGAAAGGTTGATTGCCTGTAAAGGGATTAAACAGATCGCAATTTATTGATCACTGGGTGGTGATCAATGTCGTGAATGTCAAGTCCTTCTTAGTGCTGATCGAATGCTATCGATCAAGTTGCAATGTGACCACTAGTCTAGGAGGCTTGACACTGCGTGCACTATGTTGAGATAATATTAAGAGAAAAAAAATGTAGTTGAAATGGAGGTTTCAGTATAAAGAAATACATATTCAGCAAATTTACAGTGCAATAAAACAAATTTAACGGAACGAAATAATTTACATTTAATGATTACCTACATAAGTTATTTTTATGTGCATAAATCAATTACAGAACCAAATAGTGCTTAAGACTGCTTGTGAAAAGCTATAGTTTGATAAGGTTAAAATAAAGCGAGAAATTGTAGTACCGAAAAAATACACAATAATTGACTATGGCAATATTAACTCACTTATGATCTTTATCAATATTTTTATGTAATAAACGATTTCGAATACGTTTTCTTTCTTCATCACAACATTTCTTTTTACTGACTGCATTGAAATGTGCAAGTTGTACAGTATCCCATAGCATAGCTTCTTTAATTTCTTTATCTAATTTACTGTCTGTAGTAAAACTTGGTGAATGATTTACCTAATATGATTAAAGGAAAAAGTTTGTTTAGTTTCCACCATCTAAAAAGCTTGACCACGTATGAGTAATGCCAAAGAAAATCAATTAACACTAACGGTTTATAAATTCTAATACAGTATACATTATGAGGTCTAGAATTTTAAGGACAAATGTTTCGTTCTAACTCTCTATAAGAATTCACAGAAGACCCTAACTAGAATGAGATCCAAGTGCTCTGTATCATATAATCAGTACAATAATTTCAAATCACTAAAATCAGAATTTATTCCTCCAGTTCCAACAATTCGGTCAAATAAACATTTCTGAATGAACAAATAGTTGAGGTAGGTGCAAAAGCAATCTTGCAGAAAATAAATTAATGATAATAGTAACCACAAAATGGAATATATAAACTTTTATTATTAACTAATAACACAAGTTTTAAGAGTTGAGAAACTATTATTACAAAATGGATTGTTTGTTGAAGCATAATGCTAGATTTGATTAGGAAACTCAAATAATTGATAACTAAGTTTAGTCAATTATGCTTCGTATAACTTTGATTATTTCAATAATTTAAAAGAGAGTTATTAAGTTTTATTATTTTAAATCTAAGACAGTGATGTTGATCCAGTGGTGAGTTATAAGGAGAATTGGACAAAAAGAGTGTAAACGAAACTAGCGAAGAAATAATGACAGAGTAGTCCAGTAAATAAACTAACAAAATGTTTAGAACAGACGAAATCCTGTGTGTATACGAAATGATACTGTAGTGATAGAGAACACGAATGTGAACCGCGGAATCTACTAGGACACAAAATTACAGTTATTTGGTAAAATGTGAATACCATACGTTCAAATGTGGTAAGGAGGTAAATAGATTTGTTTTATTTCACTTTAGAACTCCTCGACATTTCACAAATGCAAAAGACGTGGGATTGAACTTAGAGATCTTAGGTCTCACAAAAACACCATAGCAACGGCTTATAATATCATAACAAAACCACTTGAATCAATCACATATAAATTTCAGTAACTTTTAATAGTATTTATAATTAAACATAATATTCACTTACTTCAAGAACATATGGCTTTAATCTATGATTGAATAATATGTCAAAGCCAAGAATTTCAAAACATGCTGATGTTTGAATATGATTTGGAAAGCAAGTTCGATAATTATGTCTAATTATAGCATAACCAGATAGTAATGTTTTAATGATCACATCATCTATGTCTTCCCAAATCTGAAAGTGTATACAAAAACTGATAACAATATTTTTTTAATTAACTATGATTAATATGATACATTATGGGATTTCCAGCAAGTACTTTTGAAATAACTAGAAGAAAGGATATTTGAAAATCATTCAATCACTATTACCGTGTTATTCAGATGAAAAATACAGGTTTTGATATTATTTAGTGAGTATCAGTGAAAGTTTAAAATATTCGAAAAGGGATATGGTTAGTATATGGTGATTTTCCTAAATGATCATATAGTGATAAAAATAACCAAGATTTCTCGTCTGCTTGAGAAAGTTAAACAGATTTCTTCCATCCTGTTTTATTTGTCAGAAATTCGTAGTTCGTTTTTAGCACTAAAATAATCTCGTTTAGTATATATTTCTTTCGTTTCATAAATCACAAACTTTTTCTGAGATTTTGATAGCTAACTACCAAACGACAAATCCTAATGGAAATAAAATTTAACCGCTTCACTAACTAGTGAAGTAATAAATTTCATGTTGAGGTACAGATTACCATTCCACTAACATGTAACAATAATTCAATAGTTTTTACCATTGAAAAGTATCTTTTTTGAATTTGAAAAGATCACTATTTTGCTGACTGCCTTCAATATTAAAATAAGTAGTCATCCATTTTTTCATTTTCTTTGATGCTCCAAAAAGCTACAGTCGAGTGGAACATTCTCCGTTTAAATTATACTTTCAGTCATAATATCAGACATAAAGCTGACAGAATTTGTTACCCTGGGTAAATTTATCATCTTAGGTCAAACTGAAATATGGGATTATTTAATCTTTAGTGTAATTCAGATTGTATTACTCTTCTATATCAGTGAGTAATTTTGGAAGTAAGAAAATAGTTTATTAAGTTTTAATAAAACTGTTTTTTATTTATACAGAAACTTTGTACAATATTAACTGACTATAATAATCTCAAAACGGGCTTACTTTTTATCGTCTTAAACCAATTGTATTCTTGGAGGATACCGTTTTGAGTTCATTTATACCTTAATTGGCTAGAGTTTATTCTAAACATTAAGACTTTTATTTTGTATTTCCAATCTTACAGAATTAGTCGTATAGTAAATAAAAAACTACTTTAACTTATAAGCAAAGATGGATAGTGACTAGCAGTGGAATCCAAGACGCGCGTTTCATCCTATTTGAGATGTAGGTACATCCAGCTGACAAGTCCCGAATAGGACGAAACGCGCGTCCTGGATTCCACTGCTAGCCACTATCCATCTCTGCTTACAATGCTTGTGAATTAAGGCTATATCGAGGCAATACGGATAGTATGCACATATGCCAATTAGAGACTGACCAGTTGCAGTCCTAACACATCGATGGGAAGATTGAAAAAAAAACAATACTAAATGAATTTATACTTACGTCAAATAAACTAACTAGGCTTTTAAAACATAGATATTATAGCTGGTATTTATGCCTTATAAGTAAATTCATCATATTTTAATTTTTTGATAAGATACTTAATTCTAAACTACACAAAAGGTATTTCCTATAATCAATAATCTTTCCTTATTGTTTGATTGTAGTTTTTTTTCTGAAGTTTAACGGAAGTCACACCTTAAAATTTGTTTTTATCAATATATTGTTCTTTTTATTATATTTTGTTGAGGAAATTTTGGAATCAAAAAGGAAAATTTATCATCATACTGATTATTATTTATAAAAAAAAGGTCCATTTGATTATCTTATGCTTATATCCCTAAGATCTGTAATTATACCTGTGTTATACACAAGCAGAAAATCATAAATACTAAATAAAGTAAAGGAAAGTCAGTTTTTGTGTTTATGTATGAGCGAAAAGACATGATAAAAAAATCCAAGAAATATGAAAAACAAACATTGAATCATTGTAAGTAATTTTCATCACATATAATGTAATCAGCTCGATAACCGTTGAAAACTAAAGAACACTAAACGGTTGTCTTATACTTGCTACAACTTCAGGAGTTCATCAAGTTGACAATAAATCATTGGTAACATTGAATAATAATTGTGATATATCACAAATTATTTTAGAATCAAAATATGAACTACCTTATTTACACTCAAAGGTTTAATGGTATTATGTTTTTATAGAGTTCCATCCCTTTATAAATTTTAGTATAGAAAAAACATCAGTCGTAGTAAAATAATATAGAATATGTTTATTCATTTTGATCTTTAATATATAATATCATTGATTCTATGTTATAAACAATTGAAGAGAATTCACGAAATGAACAGATTTATTGATATCTTGTTAGTTAGAGACTAAGTAGATTATGAATTGTAACCCTCTTTTTAGTGGTTTGTGAACATCTTTAGATGGCATCACCTACAGTGAAACAGTTATTCAATCAATATCATTTTATGATGAGAGTCAACTTCAAGTTGTACAAATATTCACACAACTAAGTAAATACTGAATATACCCACGAGCATACATATATGTGGTGTAGATAACCACGTCTTCTTGAACCACTGTTCAAAATTCTGTTGAGCACTACTGACATTAACTGTTACCGAAAAAGGGTTGCAGAAATGCTATATCATATACAATAATGTAATTTTAATGATCGTTATATGACCAATAAAATGTGGTTGAGTCATTTAAATACATTGATAAACCTTCACTGTAAGATTTGAAAACATTTATTTGTCACAGATTTGAAATTCTAGAAGCGTTTTTTTAAATCTTCTCAGTTATATTATAATGATCGCGGATTGTTAATAAGTTAAAATGAAATGATGAGTAAAAGATTTTACTAGTCCCGGGTATGCTTGTACACCGATTACCACGACGCCCGATGTTGACTAGTGTTGGAGACGGTTGGAAGAAAGTTAGAGGCGACCAAACCAAAACCTGGTATCAGTCTTTGAAGTCACTAACTTCTAGTCTGAACTATGTCGGTAGATGGAAACTAGTTGGTTGGTGTCCGCGCGACTATCGTTACCGGTGGTCACAGACTTTGGATGGCATGGCTCAGAATCGATCACAATGGTGTAGGTGTATACACTGTTTGACTTCCCTTAGACTGTGAGATTAAAATTGATTTATATCCTTCTTTCTACTAACTAATTCTTTCTTCCTGTACTATATCCATGTACACAATCTTTCTTTCATAGATTACTACCATTGAAGTAACTACCTTTTAGTGTTCATCTTGTTGCGCTAATAAGGTGTGGCAACTTGGACCGATGCATATACGTGCTTGGTCCTACATCGTAACTAACTGACTGAGTCTAAATGTTATTAGTCGTATGAATGACAAAAGAAACTACAGTTGATGTGTACTTTTTTCATAACTCTAAGGTATAATTTCCACAGTTACATGGGAAACTGCTAAGAAACATTTTAAAACAAGTACGGTAAAATTATTAATGACAGAATTGTTTAACCTCAATATTTAAAATCTTTTTTTTTTCAAAAAAGAAAATCAACTAACAATGAGATGATGATTAGTTGTAGCGGTTATATTTAGTTAACAAGAAGTTGTTATGAGATGATTGAAACAAAGATAATCGTGATAGTAAAGTATAACAGTGAATATGATTGTTATTCAAGAGTAAATGAAAAACAATGAAATGAGTAAATAATGGAATTTTCAAAGCTAAAAATAAACTAGATAAGTTAAAAGTAAACAAAGTTTATCAGTTTAACTTGTCATTGAAAAGTCAAATAAAAACATTATAAAAAGAAGGAAAAACAATGTTGAGATAAAAACGACAAGATTAGGAATATGATTGAATAGAGATCAAGTAATAATTGATTGTATATTGTATTATCATCAAAATGTTTCATATTTTAGGGAGGTAATTAGGTCATTCTGAATGGATTTCAAATTACTGATTTCTGATATCTGGATGATCAAAGATGAGCTTTAAAAATTTCAAACAATTAGTTATAGTTGGGATCATGAGTCAATTGAAGCTAGACCACCATGGAAAACCTGAAAGCACCGCTTGACGGCCGTTTCGTCCTATGGTGGGACTCCTTAGCAGTGCGCATCCACGATCCCGCCTCGCGAGATTCGAACCCAGGACCTACCAGTCTCGCGCCCGAGCGCTTAACCACTAGTTATTTTGTGGACATTAAACAATTGATTGGTCACATAGTGATTGTTATTATTATTATTATTAGTTTAATGACTTTTTATACAAACGTGCCGATTTATATTAAAATAATCAAGGTTCCGTCTAATGACCAGTTAGTCAGTTACAAAACTAAACATAACTGATGTTTATCAATACTGAGGTTTGACTTGAGAATTTCTAAATAAAGTTAGCATTGGGTAGCAAGCCAATAGTAAAACAATGATACGGTTGTGATACACTGAAAAGTAAAAATTTAAATTTCTGGAGTTTCGTGACTTATTTTAAGCGACTATTACAGAGTGAATGGATAAAAAACCAGATTATTTTAATAAAAGTTGACACACCAGAAATTTAAACTTTTACCCATTAGGATATCACAAGTATCTCATTACTTTGTTATAATTGATACCTCTCTAATATAGTTAAATTTACTCTTAAAATTTAGTATATTCAAATGAAGGAAGCAGTTATTTACAACTGCAATCATACAAATTTTTAAAAAAATTTATATTCGATAAATCTTTTGTTTCTCTGTCCATTTTTTTTCCAGATGCATTAATAAAACACTAGTGTTGAGTAGGAATAGCCTGAAGTGGACCGATCTTTGTCACTTATTTCACCAGGAAGAATTTCTTGAAGCTTCTCTTATCGTCTTTATCATCAGACAGTATGCGGTAGATTTTTTTCTTATATTCTACAGATTTTGGTTTTGGTTTACAGGTCACTCTTCAGTGTAATATGAAGCAGTAGCCTCATTATTCAATCCATTCAAGAACTTACGTCTAAATTTTACCAAGTAGTGCAGACTATATGCCACTCATTTTTACGCTACAATTCGAACTTTGACATTAGGTTTTCATGGTTTGAAGTAAGGCACCATATGTGATCGAAAG